TGGATAGTGTAGGGAGGAGACTAATGGGACGATAGCTATCAAGAAGCGTGTGGTTTTTGCCGGGTTTAGGAAAGACTAGCACATGTGCGTATTTCCAGGTGTTGGGAAAGTATCCAATCCTTAGGCAGGCGTTGAATAATATAGTTAGGTAAACTACTAGTTTTGGCGGGAGGTTTTTCAGAATTATATTTGTGATGAGATCATGGCCAGGGGATTTTTTGGTGGGCAGGGTGTTGATGTGGTCGAGTAGTTCTCCGGGTGAGGTAGGTAATATTAATCCTGGGTGTGCTGGGAAGTCCGAGGTTATTTCCTGGTGTACTGATTCAGCGAAGCCAGTGTTGCGGTCGGATATTGATGTAGTGAATGCGTTTTGCAGGTGCGTAGCAAAGACGTCGCATTTTTCAGCATCTGTGACGTATTTTTGGTTATTATCATGGATGGTGGATACCTGAGGTTGTCGATTTAAAATTCTTTTTGTAGCTCGCCACATGGTGGGATCCCTAGGTTGTAAATCAGAAATGTACCTTTGGTAATTAGATATTCTGTGTTCATCTAATGCGAGTTTGACTTCTCGTGTGAGTCGATTGACTTGGGTTTTGACGAGTGGGTCGCGTGTTCTTATCAATCAATCTTTATCAATCTTTATTTGTCCGTATACCAAAAATAGGTTTTGACACGTCAGAAAATATGGTAAATATTAAATTAGTACAATGCATATATATATAAAAGGAATAATAAAAACAGTTTAAAATTTCAAATAAATAAAAGCTAGACAGACCATGTGGCTAAAACAGAATATGATATAGAATATATATAAACAATTTAAAATTTTAGTTAAAAAGAGACAAAACAGAGATAAAATATAAACAAGTAAAGGTAAAAATGACTAAAGAGAATACTACTACACAGGTACAAAAAATTCAAGTAAACAAACAATGAAATAAATAAATATCATTAAAATTATTGAATAGATCTCCAAGGCGTATGTAAATATTCACTAAAAAGAATGACTTAATAAGTGCGCCTTAACGACTCTTTTAAATTTATAAAAATTGTAAGGTTTGATACAATCAGGAACGATATTGTATAAGTCGACCCTAAGACTGTTATTTTTAGACCTACTTAGTTTATAATAGGGCGTTTTTATTTTTTTTGCTCCTCGTGTAGAATAGTTGTGAGAGAAGTCATTGGTTTCAAATTTATTTTTGTTTTTATGAATTTCCAATATGGTGTGATATATGAAAATAGATCGAAGAGGCATAATATTTAATTTTTTAAAAATAGGTCGGCAGTGAGCACGATAGTCAGCATTTACGATTATACGGATTATTTTTTTTTGCAATAAAAACGCCTTGCTCGCTTTGGAAGAGTTACCCCACAAAATTACACCATATTGTAAATGTGAATGAACTAAAGAAAATAGCACGATCTTAGGGTGGCTATACAAAGTGATCGTTTTAAATTCCTTAAAATAAATAATGATTTGGTCAATGTGATTGCTCCAAGTGAGTTTTTCATCAATATATATGCCTAAAACTTTAACACACCTGCCGGTTGCAACCTTATTGTTTGTGGAGAGGGTAATTATGTGAGTTTTATCTTCATTTAATTTTAAGTTGTTCCTAATTGTATTAAATTATGACTTTTAAGGGCTAGAGTTTCGATATTTTGGTCCGAAATCAGTAATGCAGTATCGTCAGCATATGCAACAGCGTGATTAGGATGTATATATTCGAAAAAGTCATTAATGTATATAATGAACAGTAAAGGACCTAATATGGACCCTTGAGGGACTCCATGCTTAGTATTAATTAACTTAGAATATATACCGTCAATCAAAACGCATTGCTTGCGATTATTAAGGTAGGTTGACATTAACGATCCCGTTAGTCCCCTAATCCCATATAATTGAAGCTTATCTAACATAATATCAAACGAAACGCAGTCAAAAGCTTTGGACAAATCACAGAGTATTAATGAAGAATGTTCCCCGTTCTCCCAGGATTTTACTACTAGAGATATAATTTGGCCCACAGCTTCTGTTGTGGAATGATTTTTTCGAAACCCATACTGACCACGATTTAATAATTTATTACGCTCTAGATAGTTATATAATCTTTTATTTAAAACAATTTCAAAAAGTTTACAAAACATTGGGACTATAGCAATTGGTCTATAATTGTCTATGTTGTTTGGGTCTCCCTTCTTAAAAAGGGGCTTGACAACTGACACTTTAAACGCCTCAGGAAAATTGGCTTCTGAGATACAAGGATTAAATAGATGTACCAAATACTTAATGTATATTATATGTATTGTATTTTTAATTAATTTAATGTTAATTCCGTAATAATCCGTACAGAATGAGTCACTTAATAAATTTACAGCATCTAGGACTTCGCACTTTGATACAGGGTATAACAAAAAAGTACCAGTAAAAGTTGATGGATAATGTAATGGTTGGGGAGCGATTAAGTTTGTTTTACCTAAATGGCGAATTATTTCCTCGGCCACGTTTACAAAATGATTGTTAAGTTATCCGCAGTGAAGTTAGATTTCCTGTTTTGGGAGTTGTGCTTCTTTCCGTTCGAAATTAATTAATTTCCAGGAATCTCTGCTTTTGTTATCGGACTTATAAAAAGAGCTGCATAAGCGTTGCTTTTTTCTGATGCAATTTGCTTTGGCGGTACTGTTTCTTAAAAACTATAGTAAGCGTTCGTGTGGTCGGTTTACATCACAGATTGTTTGATGCAATGAAGTGTACTTTCCGCATATTTTTCAATTTGTTATTGAACCAATTCACAGGTATAGTTTTATTCCAACTTTTGTATAACGAAAAGCGGAAAATGCCAAATTAATTAAAAATTTGGGAAAGTTGTAGATCAAATGATTTCCATGGGAGGGCTTGATTTTTGGTTGTCATCATGCAATCGAAAGTCCCAATTGATTTTCATCAAATACGGCTTAAAATTATTAATTCACTCTCGCAAGAATAAGATCGCACGCGACGAAAAGTGACAGTTTGAAATTTTACAAGAATTTTAAAACCAACAGTTGACCTCTATGATCTGAAAGATCCATTATCTTATCCATAGTCTTCTTTAGTCGATTTTTTGGTTTTTATGCGTTGTAAAATGTTTTTGGTAGAGCTCTGTGGTTATAGTTTCGTTTATTTTGTTATTGTGGTGGCTTTGGTTACGGAGGTTCGTGATTGCCGATGTTAGCTTGGCGAGCTCTGTGTCGATGTCTGTTTGCGTTTCCGTTTTAGTTGGCAATTTATCATTGAGTGATAGTATTTGGGAAGTAGTCCCCAGTTAAACTGTCCATTATTGCCTTAGGGAACGGTTGGGTTACTAATGGTGTGCTCTCAAAAGTAAGTAATACTGGAAGATGATCGGAGTCGAGTTCGGGTAGGACTGTTTGATAAATAGGAGCAGAGAAGTTTTTGGAAAAGCAAATGTCCAAGATGTCAGGGCGATGTTCCCTGCGATAAGGGTAGTGTGTCGGTTCTATTGGTGCTGTCACTTGGATGGCATGGTTCGAGATATATTCGTATAGTCGGATTCCACTTGGGTTGTTGCTGGAACAGCCCCAAATTGTATTTTTCGAGTTAAAGTCGCCAATTGCTAAGGTGGGGATATTGCCTGGGAAAAGTGCTGCCACATCTGCTTCCAGTGTTCGTCTATTTGGTGGTTTGTAGACTGCAATGATATTCACACTTAACTTAAGATTAAAAACTGAAAATCATACAGGGGGCAAACTTCATCAACAGTAGACATAGAAGAAATTGCCAGGCGTCATGTAAACGGAATTGGAAGACGTTTTTCTTGCTCAGAAAACCAGCCCCCATCTCAAGACAATTATGTGCACATATTACAATATCTTGCATGCATTTTATGGTTAGCATCTGCCATGGAGCATATACAGTATTTTCTAATATTTTATTTAAAAACCCGCAGTACCTAATTAAAGAATGGCGCATTTGCTCGCAAATAAATATTTATTGCAATTACTAACCGAACTTTTTTCCCATGTTTCAAGGCAAATTGCAATTAATCTCAACGACCAGCCTGATTTCCATCAACTAATCAAATGCTCTTTTAATTCTTTTGCTCATATTCATCATTCTAATTACAGCGCATGTATTACTACAAAGAAAAGAAGACTAAATTTATTGGCAGGATTTTAATGGAAAGAGATAATGAGAGTACCTACTAGTTGATTATTAAACGAGATTCCGCTATCGATTTTATACATTATACCCTACGCGTAAAAGCAATATAGCTACTATACATATACCTAACAAATTAATTATTTAAAGTGGATCGTAAGTTATATTAATGGTTTAATGAATAACCAAGTTGCTTCACCCATATTTATCTGACAAACCAGAGCGGTATTTTTGTTTGATTAATTCTGAATTGTAATTGACTTGTGTCTTTATTCTCCTGGGCACTTTAATTCATCCTAATGGTTGCGTTAATATTTAAACTTCAATCTTGTTTAGTTTAGCTTTAGTTACGAGTTGATTCTAGGAGCATCTGTATTGAAATTTGCGAACGTTTAAGCTTTTCTAGTAAAAATCTGAACGACTGATTTAAATAAATCATGGGTCTTTTATATTCTGTAAGATCACTAGGTATATCAAGACGGCTCTTTTGGTCTAGGCAGGTGCATAATACTAATGTGCACGTCTTGTGAGAGGCAATGACAACAATTATAAAGGTTCGCTCTAGGATCAATATTACTTTGGTGACTGTCTCAGGAGAAAACTGATCAACAAATCGTCCCCTCATATAAAGATCTAACAAATGCAAGTTCCCTTTTAGTAATTGCAATTCGTATCGTGACTATAATGCACTTTTTAAAGCGTTATATGTGGCATGATGTATCTATCCAAGGGCAATTTTCCTGAGGCCACTACAAATTATGAACGTCGGATGGTCGTTTATTTTATGCTTGAGTAGAATACTACTCATTGATAATTGAAATAAATTGTATTAATAATTGCTTATTCTTCCAGATCCGACCTAAGAACTGTATCGGAAGCGATTCAGAGCAAGAGTTTAAATAATTTAATTATTATGGTAAGTATCTACTTATTTATATATGTCTGATAACGCAATACAGTTATTATTCCATAATTAGTGGTGAAGTTGCATCCAGCAATGACGTCCTTTAACAGAGGACCTCTAATGACATTTGAGCATTGTTCCAATAATTCGATAAAATTATTATTTACGGTTCATAATTACGAAAGTTAGGGTGTTTCTTGGAAGTGATATAAGTATTTATTTCGTAACGAAGCGCCCAACTTAAAACGTTTCTAGATACCGGGTGTTACATGATACAGAGTGATCACCAAAACGGGTAAACGTCAAGGCGGAAAACGGGTGCTTCGTTACACTTACACAGGAGCACTGCAGACTCCACGTAATCTCTAGATTATAGTAAAATGTACTAAGTATAAATATACTCAACGGTAGGTATTACTTTGACTTCGTTATTCACTGGTTTTATCATTGTGCGTTCGTTTTTCTAAATCCAGCTGCTTTATCAGTGTCAGCAGTAACGAAGTGAATAAAGTACAGATTTTGCATTGATAGTCAATTTACATAAAAAAGTTGTACGCAATCGTCACTACGGAAGTTATCGATCTTCTTCTTCTTCTTCTCGGAGTCCACAATCCTAGGATATGACGGAGCCCTATCCCCTTTGGTATCCTGCGCTGATCTTTTCATTTCTACATAACTGCTCTTGCCTAGGTCCCTAACTATTTGGTCTATGTACCTAAGCCTCTGGCGTCCTATCCCTTTCTTGCCCTCTGACCTACCTTCTATAGCTAGCCGTACTAATCCTCCGTGTCTCAACACGTGCCCTAAAATTCTATCTCTTTTTACAAATGAATGAAAATGGTACTTTATATACCAGCCATTTTTTTTACGAAAAGCATCCGTAGAGATCCTTGTAAATCATTTGGTATCATCGGAAATCCCCTAAATTCGCCGCAAATGCCCTTGAAATCCCCGCATATCCCTCGGAGATCCTTTGCAACTCAAAGATATTGTACTGTAAATACACCCCTGTTGGGAGAGGCTCCTTTTAAGGAGGGTTACGGAGATCCCCTGAAAACCCGGAACTTGTATAGTAGTAGTAGGAATTTTGTGGGAAAAATCCTAGTCCCATGCATTCAGAAGCATAACCTTTTATATCCTTGCAAGTATTTATTTAACTATTTATAACTGCACACTTGTTTAGGATTGTTTAATGTTTGGGAGCAGAATATTATCGAAAGAACATATCCATATTCCTATTCACAAACCATGATTGTCTGTTTGTCGAAAAGTACTATAAAACAGATGAATTTCGAGAAGATTTTCCTCTAAGAACTAGTACCCGATATAAAAGAGACACCACAACAGCCGAGAAGATCGGTCCTACCCAGTAAATCTGAAGAGGGTATATTAGATGTAAGGGAAATTAGATGTTCCAATACAAACCCAATGCCTCTCCCATTCATTATTCCACACAGCTGGTGCAAAGCTTCTGACTGGGTTCATAATGGCGCCTGTGTACGCCCCCTAGAATGAAATACATGTAGGCGTCATAATTGTGTACAACACATACGCCAGTCATGATAAGTGTTCCAACTAATAGACCAAATTTTAAAGGCAACGAATCAGTTTGGTCGAAATTTCTGGGATCCCAACTCGCACAATTTGCTAATGACAAAATTACGGAAAATATGATTTCGGCTCCTAATGCCTAAAATATCTGCACCAATCACTATAGTTAAATGATTTCAGATTTATACCTGTGCTGTTGTTAGATCCGCATTTGGTATTGCGGTACATACACCATGAGAACCATCTCCGAACTTCATTCTTTGCGCAGGTGTAACTAACTAAAATTGAATTCATCACGTGTTCAAACAATTCTTGAAACGTTTATACCAAAAGTAATCCATAACCACTTATTCCCCCTGCAAATTCTGATACTAGGTAAAACGGTAACAGCTGCATTGGTGTCTGGCCCACTATTACAGCACATATTGATGTAAGGGGGTTTACATATGCACCGGAGATGTGTCCAAACGTCTACAATATTACACCATTCCTTGATAAAGGCAAGATTTCAAAACACTTACAAATATGGAAATCATCACAGCCATACCAGAGGTGAAAGCGGATTGTTGTGGAAGCACTTGATATTCAGTATTAGGAACACATCCCATACACGCTACAAATACTAAAATTGCAGTTCCCAAAAATTCCGAAACTACTACAACTAGTTTGTCCACAGCAGCAGCACCAAAACATGGGTTGTTTCTGTAAAGAGTACCGGTTACTTATCAATGCAGATCGTTCACGATTACCTCTTTTCACAGCTCATTTCAATATGTGGACCTTTATAGTATAAATGCACAACTCCCTGAATTAATCTTAAATTTATACTGTAGTAACACCGCTATGCAAATAGCACATTACGTAACGGCGCTCCTAATTAACAATCTTTAAAGTGTCATCAACGGATTATGGGATGGCTGCCTAAATATCTCAAATAACATTTTGAAGGTATTTAATCACATACGTCCGGTTAAAAACCTCTTATATTTTTTACAGTTCACTTGGCCAACTTGATATAGAACAATACTTACGTTTATTATAATAGTAAAAAGGCGTCATAGTTTCTAAATTGTGATTATGTATATTAACTATTAAGTGTATATGTATTTAATTATGAACAGCTAAAAATACTATGTATCGACGGTTTGTATTCAAATTTTGATAAGGCCTTGAGTCGTATGTATGTACCTATGTCTAATACATCATCTAATCCAGCGGTCGCCAACGTTTTAATCCTTACGGACCACCAAACAAAAAATATTTTATCTAGCGGACAGCTATCCTAAGGCACCAAAGAACGGCAACATTATTTGGTATAATTTAAGTGTAAAGGTTACCTAAAAAGCCATAGACACAATATTTATTCAATGGAATGTGGAAAGGGAAGCTATAAACGACACATAATCAGTAAGTTAGCATTGGTGATCGGACCACTAAAATTTTTACACGGACCACCGCTTGGCGACCGCTGATTTAATCTGTCTTGTTCTAAAATATAGGAAGTAAGCAGAGAATTGGGGTTTTACCATATTTTTAATGAATAGTACAGCTTATATATGCGCAAATTCCGCCCGGTTTGAGATTTCCACACTGGAACCTCGTAAAAGTTGCGCTTTTTATTTAATAGGTTTCAAAATTCCGGGATATTTTAACAAAATTTGTCCGTGATTTTCCTCATTTTTATGCCCCTTATTACATGTATTTGCATTTTCTAAAATATACGTAATTCTTATCTTACCTACGGTTTCCAAATTTGTGTTGCTAATAAAACATTAACCAATCTCCACAATCCTAGGAGTTTGCTTTTGCTGTAAAAAATGTACGTCGACATTATTCCAAATCCCCCCCCCCCCCCCCAATCCAATCCAATCCAATTACTATTATTTTCATTTTTCAGTCGAAAACAGTCGATTTTCTATGAATTTAGAGACAATGACTCTAAGCTTTACTGTATTTTCTAGTAGTTTACCACTGTACCTCTTAATATAATCAAAGTACCTAGCGTAATTTTTCTCACTTTTGTCATCTCTTCAGGATATAATCTTTAAGAAAAAACCGGTTTTATGGTTCAGTGGTAGAGCGCTGGACTATAAATCCGGAGGTCGGGTGTTCAAACCTGGGTTGAGGTTAATTTTTCATCTGTGGCAGCGATGGGAATTACCGTAGACCAGTTTCAAGCATTCTGCCGGCTACTCCGAATTAGGTTTTCCTGCAGTTTTCCTAATTCGTAAGGTAAATACCGGAGTAGTATAGAACAACTTAAGACCTTCTGCAGAGGCACCTCTAAAAAGCATAATGCGGGTCACTCTGTAATTGGGCGCAAGAGAGGGATAATAAATAAATAAATATTCATTTTTCAATCAATCTGAAGCAAGTCGACTTTCTATGAATTTTAAAGGCGTATGGTACATTTTATGTCTGTCTGTATGTTTGAAATCTTATAAAGGGAGGACTCATGAAAATGCAAGTCATGGAAGAAGAGTTGAGAAGTTTACGTCATAGCTATGCATTTAGCTGTACCTTTACCTGATAAAAAGAAAGTTGTTCGTATGATATAGGTACTATAACATCAATTGCAAAAATAAGACTTCTTGCGATCAGTTTTCGTGTACCAGTACAAAAAGAAACAAGTTGTAAATCAGCATATGCATGATGAAAGCGCATTTTTGGTAATGTAGATCAGTATTTCATTAGCAAAGTTTAAAATTATCGATCTCACGAGTAATCTAACTTAAAATAGACTTGAGCCTGCACATCTACACTATAGCATTTGAAGTCTCTAGCAATTGTAATTGCTGAGATCTCAACCGGACAGCCAGCCAGTCAGCCATAACGAATATAAGAGCGTATTTTTTTTTCAAAAATGCATTAAAAATAAGTTATTCGCCAGTTGCCCTACGGTAAATTTGCTATTATCAACTTACTGCCATTTTGGTTCGTTCGTTCCAGGCTACGGCATACTTCCAGTGGAGCCTGCTATGTTAGGACTTCACCTCTGCAGTCTTTTCCTTATAACATGCTGGAATTTCTCCATTTTGCCCCAGTTCTCCTCACTAGAGCACATACCTTCGATGGGTAATCGTTTGTTCAAGTTCTTCCTTCAGTGTTTCTCTCTGAGATCTCTATCTTACACATTTGAAAACCGCATGGTCTTATTACCATCCATCCTCTCACAATCCTTATTCTTATTCTGTACAAGTAGCTGGCGTTCTTATCATGGCTATAATTTTACGTCTTTGATTGAGATGTGATTGTGCATGATGTTTGTGGCTCCCCTTCCCATTCCAACACCTTCTTCCGCTCCCATAATTTGGATCCATCAATCACTATAGTATGTGCGGGTGGCAATCCTGCCACCACTAATATTGCCTGTAGCCCAACGGTTCTGTAGGCACTGCCAATTTTAATTACAAGAAGTCTTTGGACTTCACTGCATCTCCCCACACTTCCGCCGCATTCAGATAAATTGACTGAATCGCATTGGCTAATATCTTCCTTTATGACGGCCTCTCTTCCCCCCTGTTCGGGCCACTCTATCTAATCCAGCCTTGCCCACCCCTCTCTCCACTCTCAACATCAAGTCTGATTGCTTAGTTCTACTGATACCGTGTATATTGCTGTCCACTCAAGATTAGTTCCGTATACTTTTAAGTACTCGCCGTATAGTGGTTCTCCCCGGAGTTTAACTAGCACCGGTTCCGGTCTGATTTTCCTTTTCTTGTTACTCTTTCAACCTCCCTCGCTGGTCTCGATGTCAATTATACCCTTTTCCCTTTCTGCTGTGATCTCTACTGGCCGTATCTTCCTCCTCACTTCGTGATCGGTATCTGTCTCACATTTATCATTTCGATTTAGGTCAGTTTTCTTTCCCATATACAAATACGGGCTCGTCTGACTCCCTCTTGGAATGTCCATAACCTCTTTATCGTTACCACAGCTGTCACCACTGGTATCCTATGTTTCTGCTTGGATTTTACCCTTTTTTGAATTGCCCCATTCCCCGTTGCAGTTTCCGCATATGAGAGACTTGTTTGGGTCACCGTACTCTTTGATGACCAGCTGTATTTTCGCTTTGCATTGGATCTTCATTTCTTCTCTCAAGCAAATTAGTTCCCTGGTATACTTTTAAGTACTGCGCAAACGTATAGTGACAGGTTGCTCCCGGAGCAATTTAACTGCACCGGGTTCACGGCCATTTTTGTTACCTAACCTTTACAACTTACAGCCGTTACTCTTGATCACACCTCCCTCGGATGGTCTTGTAAATACCCTTTCTACAGCCTTTAATCTAGCTGTGATCTCTACTGGTCGTATCTTCCTCCTTCACTTCGTGTCGGATATTCTTTCTCACTATATTTATCGATTTTTAAATTTAGGGTTCGTCAGATTTGGGTCTTCTTCGCCATATAACAAATACTTCGCTCAAGTGACTCCCTCTTGGAATGTCCATGATTACGCTACTTCGAAGAAGCTGATCACCGACTGGTATCCTATTTTATTTTTACCCATTTTTTGTTCATTGCCCCATCCCCGTTGCAGCGGAACGCATGACCTGCACTATCATGACAAGAAATTCGAAATTTTTAATGAAATTTGGCGCGAAATAAAACCACTCGTTACACTCTTTGTCTCCTCCCTATACCTATTCCCAGTTTGATTGGTTTGTGCATCAGCTGTCAATATTTGGCCCCAGTCGCTTTGATCATCATCATTGGATCTTCATTTCTTCTCTAGTTGTATGCTAAAGCTCTTTTTTTTAGTCTTAAATTCCATACAAAGTGAAAACATATTTTGTTTCTTCCTCTGTTGTTTCTAAATAATGGACTGTAGATTTGAAATTAACAAAGCCAAAAATAAAATAAATTATTATCAACTTACCCTTTTCGTCGTTGCTGGGATCTCCAAACGGGTAGAGAAAAAGATGGAAATGAGGGGACAAGTTGACAAATTGTACTAATAAACTACTGACAGTTAATAGCATACATCACCCTGCTACGCACTGGTAATATCTAATATATATTTTAAAAAACGTCACCAAAATTAAATCCTTTTAACAAGAGCAATAGCACGCACGCATTCGACCGTGTATTTTTCTATAAGTTTGTACTAAACGTATATTGTACATTTATCGGTAGTCTCATAATTGCACGTATAAATGTAAAATTGGAACCCATTGTAAAATATATGAGCCATTTTACAACCATAATTTTTGCACTGTTTTTGTAGTCGTCACATTTGTCACCATGCCAAGTCTACAGACATTCCATATTATTATCTCAAAGAGTAATATGATTCTATATCTATTGTTTTCCTTAGATTTAAGTGTATATCTCTGCGTTAAGTGGAAGGTATTTAATTATAACTTTACAGATACAGCAAATCTTTTATTTGCATATTAGAATAGATAGTCTAACTCCAATTTAAACAGTATTTTTTTCTAATGTAGACGTTTATAGTATAATTATTTGGTTATGGTTATGAGATCTAAAAATTGTAATAATTAAATACTTTTATCAACGGCTATTGAAGAGGATCCTCGATGGCTATTTGGCAATTTTTACCTTTTAACACCAACATTCTGTAACAGATAGGAACAGCAACCGCTGACGTGAGTGGCCCTACCCAATAAACCTAAAATTATAACATTGATTTCTAGAAGCCCTCATATAGTAACAAACCCAACCCAGTGTCTTTCCCAATCATTATTCCATGCAGCAGGAGCGAAACTTTTGAATGGATTCATGCTGGCACCGGTATACGTTCCCTAAATATGCATGTCTAAATCGTCTGTTTAAAATTTACCCTACATACTCCAGCCATGATCAGAGTTCCAACAAGGAAGCCAAATTTGAGGGGCATTGAATCAGCTTTATCTACATTACGAGGATCCCAACTGGAGCAGTTGGCGAATGATAAAATCAGCGAAAATATTATTTCGGCCACTAACGCCTAAAGAAGCATGGCAATGAGTTCCTACGTTTCCATAAGTTAAATTACTCACTTGCGCAGCTGTTAAATCGGTGTGAGGTACGGTCGCACAGACTCCGTGATTTCCTTCGGTGTATTCTAAACGGTATGCGGGCGTAACGTACTGAAATACGTCGCAATTAACTGCGAATAATAAGCTAAATAACTGCAACATACTTTTAACATTCCATATCCACTCAATGCTCCAGTAAGCTGCGCGAGTAAATAAAAGGGCAAGAGTTTGAATGAAATTTGTCCTACTATTACAGCATTTATGGATGTAAGAGGGTTAACGTGCGCCCCAGATATGTGCCCAAATAACTAAAAGGCTACATAATAACTTTAAACGAATCTCTGTACACTTACAAATATGGTAATCATGACAGCCAGACCGGAAACTATAGCTGCGCTTTCCGGAAGTAGTTCATTTTGTGAATTCGGCACGCATCCCATACATGCCACGAAAAGTAGCACCGCCGTTCCAAGAAATTCAGAAAGGGTGATGGTGACTTTGTCGATCATCTTTAGGGGTTTGTAATCTCTACAACACTTCTTTTCGTACCTATGCTAATAAGTGATTTACTCACATTTTCTCCCTGTTCATCCTTATAACTTCTCAAAACCAAAAATATCACTGTAGCAATCACGCCGTAATAACGTACCTACTTAATTTCAGCACTTTTGTATAAGGATTATAAGTAACTGTGATTACAATATTTGTTTATCAAATCCAACTTCTAGATAAGATCCTTTTTTTGTAGATAATCGTTTAACATTAATATTAATATACGGTACTGAAGATCCAACGTTTAATTAAATTTACCTGTAGGTAGTACGCGTGAGCTAAGGTCAAATTAATTATTTGTCAAGGCGAGCCGCTTTGCTATATTTTTTGACCATTTGTCTTAATATGATCATATATAAGCGTAAGTTTTCTGGCGGCTCTTCCGGCTTAATCTTTCATAGTCATTTTCCAATCGACTTAAAACTAGTTGCCTTTATGAATTTTAGAGGCAAGACTTTGCTATATTTTTTGGTAGTTTGCCTACTATATTTTTTAATCATATAAGCGCAATTTTGTCACTACTAACACCCTGCCAATTTTAGAGGTCATGTCTTGTCTATAATTGCTGTAGTGAACACTGAACAGGTTTATGACGCCATCGATAATTTTGTTTAAATAGGCATTTTTTGATATACGTAGAAACCTAGTTAACTTTCATTAGCACGTTTCTATTCACCTTATGCTCAAGAATCAATTTTGGGTCTTCCAATTCTTATGAAAGAAAATTAGTATCAAATTCCTCTTTAAAAGGGACTATCACTTTACGAGTATGTTAAAAAATGGGAATACTATTTATTTTTTAAATATTAAATTTCAGTTCTTTTTGGGTAACTTAGGATCATTCTTGACGAGCGTCAGTTAGAAAGATATGGAAAACCTTTGAAAATTAAGCTAAACTGATAAATCTTTTAAGGGTTTTGGCACATGATGAATTGAACTAAAATATTTTCAAGATGGCGCCACTTCCGGAAATACCGGAAGTAGCCATCAACTTTGTTATTTTAAATAGGGACCCACTATTTTTTCTACATTTTCGGATTCTACGTCGAATTTGGAGTACAACGATACCCCATAGTTGACCCTTTGCTCCAAGGACTTCGCCGATATTCAAGTTTCTGTGTCAAAAATTGAATTTGCAGGGGTGATTTTAAAAATTTATTATTCGAAAACGGTGAGAGATATTGCAAAACAGATGGAATATCTCGGAAACCGTTTGAAGCAGCTTTTGACATTTTGCATCAAATTAAAGGTCTGGGAAAAAGGAAAATAAGGGTGAAGACCAAAATGGGGGGTGCCATTTGAAAAAATGGAGTTACGGATATTTAAAAGTTTAAAAGTTGAGAGCTTTGAAAAAGTGACGTAGTCTCACTTTTTTAGTCTCTTACGCATACCATAAGAAAATTCGATCTTTCCTTAATAAAGCATTGAAAACTGTTTTGCAATATCTCTCACCGTTTTCGAATAATAAATTTTTTTAAAGTGACACAAAAACTTGAATATCGGCGAAGCCCTTGGAGCAAAGGGTCAACTATGGGGTATCGTTGTACTCCAAATTCGACGTAGAATCCTCCCTATTTAAAATAACAAAATGGCTACTTGGCGCCATTTTGAAAATATTTTAGTTCAATTCATCATGTGCCAAAACCCTTAAAGAACTTATCAGTTTATCTTCATTTTCAAAGGTTTTCCATATCTTTCTAACTGACGCTCGTCAAGAATGACCCTGTATACGAATCCTTGACCCAAGATTAATTTGAGCTCAGAATTTCATTTGAAGTAGGTCTGGTTTTTTTAGCGGGCCAGCATTCTATTTCCCGTTTAGATAACAATCCATTTGGTTCAGTTAATTTGTACTTTATGGTTACAAAAGAGCTGGTAGAAGATTTTATTTTTCCGACTTGTTTAAATGGTAAAGAGAGAAAAAAAATCTGCAAAAATTTCTGACTTTTTTCGGATTTTCTAAAATAACTCGCCATCGGCAATGCTTGGGTAAAATCATGTTTTATTCAAAATTGTAGTGTAAAGTACCTTTAATTTGATATTTTATTTGGCCCCCTAATATGTATAGTTTAGGAGATGTACACCAATTTCAAGTTTCGTGTTTTTAGTAATTTTTGAAAATAACGCATCTTTCACGTTGTTGAACTTAAATTTATACAAATAGATTAGGTATAAATACAGAAATAAATACCTAAGTTTATTTATTTAATCTTTAAATTTTTGCTTGAGTCTATTTTTTTCAAAAATTATCTCCTAAAAAACAATAAACGGAATGTAATTATTCTCTTCATTTGTTGGTACACTGGCCGTTATGTCCAACGTAGGTGTATTTATTTCTGGATCAAGTAAAGTTTCGGGTAAAGTTGTAACATCAGAATGATTGTTAGAGGGGTCATAAGGAATATCATCATTTTGAGGAGAATCTCGCGGAGTAGCATCCCCAATTCTGCGTAACTGATCAACGTGTCTCTTCCAAACATTACCATTATCAAGCTTAACATGATAGTGTAATTTCCCTAACTTTTTATCAACATTTCCAAATTTCCATTTGATATCGTTTGCATAGTTTCTTACAGCAACTCTGTCATTAATTTGGAAATCTCGAACTGGTATATTATTACGAATTGCAGTAGCATTTTTATTTAAATCGGGTTTAATTAAATCCAATCGGGATGTAATTTCACGTCCGAACATTAACATTGAAGGTGATTGTTTGGTAATACTATGAGACATTTTGCGATATTGTAAAAGTAATCTACATAATTCTTTTTCAACATCAGAACTATTACCGTTAATTGCGCGTAATGATTGCTTTAATGTTTGAACATATCGTTCTGCCAACCCATTTGTCGCAGGATGGTATGGCGCACTTAAACTATGTTTAATTCCGTTTTGTTTAAGAAAACTTTCAAAAGCGTAAGATACAAAATTCCTGCCATTATCACTCACCAGTACACGTGGTATGCCAAAACGACTAAATATTTCACGGCATATTTTTATGGTTGTATTGGCAGTCATATCTTTTGTAACATAAACTTCGGGCCATCGTGAATATGCATCAACTAAAATAAAATAATAATGACCATAAAATGGACCTGCATAGTCGACATGTACACGATGAAATGGTTTATTTACACTTTCCCATGAATGTACTGGTACTACTGTAGATGTATGCTTAATTTTATTGCAGTTAGCACAATTCTTTACTAACGTTTCAATATCGTTGTCTATATCAGGCCACCAGCAATAACTACGAGCTAAACCTTTCATTTTGTAAATACCAAAATGTGCAGAGTGTAACTCATCTAAAATTTGTTTTTGTAAAATTTTAGGTATTATTACTCTTTGACCTCGCAAAATACATTCTTGTTGTACGGTGAATTCTTTTTGATCAATATTGAAACGTAGTTTACTATCAATCACTTTACCAATTTTTAATCCCATAAATAATGGTTGTAAATTCTTATCCATTTTAGTTGCTTGCGCTAGTTTACTAATTGTAACAGGTAGTGTCTCTATTTGACTTATTTCAAATATGTCTGATTCTTCAAAATCGTATAATTGTTCAGAATTAATTGGTAATCGAGACATGCAATCTGCATTACCATGTAACTTTGTATTCTTGTATCGAATATCGTATCTAAAAGCCGAAAGAAATATTGCGTAATGTTGCATTCTAGACGCACTTAACACAGGCAATGATTTCTTTGGATTAAAAATTTGTAACAAAGGTCGATGATCAGTATACAGTATAAATTTGTTACCGTACAAGTATTGGTAGAACTTTTTAATACCAAAAATTATACTATACGCCTCACGATCTATTTGTGAATACTTTCGTTGTGTTAATGTTAAAGTTTGTGATGCAAACTGGATTGGTCTTTCTGAACCATCCGGATATACATGTGAAAGAACAGCGCCCACTCCGTATGGTGAAGCATCAGTTGCTAGCACAATTGGTAATTGCATTGAATAAAAGTGTTTTTATTCAATGGTAATTGTAAATCAAAATGAACTAAAAAATTCGCAGATTGAATTTCTTTTTTAACTTGTAAGAATGATTTTTCACATTTCTGATTCCAAATAAACTTGGAATTCAGTTTTAAAAGATCATTTAGTGGTGCTAACATTGTACTCAAGTTTTCAAAAAATCTACCATAGTAATTTATTAAACCTAGAAAAGAACGTAACTGATTTTTGTCAGTAGGTCTTGGTGCTTCTTGTATTGCTTTTACTTTAGCAGGTGTTTTGTGTATACCATTTTTATCAACAATATACCCACAATGTTTAGGAGATGTACACCAATTTCAAGTTTCGTGTTTTTAGTAATTTTTGAAAATAACGCATCTTTCACGTTGTTGAACTTAAATTTATACAAATAGATTAGGTATAAATACAGAAATAAATACCTAAGTTTATTTATTTAATCTTTAAATTTTTGCTTGAGTCTATTTTTTTCAAAAATTATCTCCTAAAAAACAATAAACGGAATGTAATTTGTGATGCTTAAGTTTTGTTAACCTTATAGTGTGTGAAAGAGCAAACCTAGAATGGTCACCTCTTTTTGTTCTAATAATCTCCTAAATCTGTACTATTCGGTGAATAAACTAAAGATTCCCGAACATTTTACTGACTGTGGTAAATAAGGCGTAGATCTAATAAAAATGTTTGTTCCAGGACTCCTGCATGGATCCCATAACAGATGCCACCGCTTTAAAGAAGGCCTTGGAATGGGAGTTATCGTTGGACGTAAGAGATTTGCGCTCTCACGCTTGGTATCACGGAGCAATACCCAGATCACGGGCCGAAGATATAGTTCGCGAAGAGGGTGGATTTCTGGTACGTGATTGCACTTCTCAGCCAGGAAATTTCGTACTGACGTGCAGAACCAAACAGATTCCTTTACACTTTGTCATCAATAAAATTATACTCCAACCCGACACGGTTTACGAACGGGTACAGTATCAATTTGAAGACGACGCATTCGATACAGTGCCGGATTTGATTACCTTTTATGTTGGATCGGGAAAATCGATAACGGCGACGTCCGGTGCAAAAATTCAATTTCCCAAAAATCGAATGTACCCGCTTTCATTTTACGCAACTAAATACACCAGTCCTTTAAATCAAAGCCGAGTGGTGTCTCCTGCCACAACGCCCGTTGCCAACATGCAGATGCGATGTAGTCCTATAAATCCTGGAACATACAAGCCTTCGCCGTCGCCTACGAGAATATCAAGAGACCCACCTCCACGACTACCCTCAAAGAAACAAAGATCCCAATCATTAACACCTTCAGAAGTGAATCGGGTGGCGCAAGAAAAGTGTAACAGTGCAGATGGTGTAATACAGTTCCCCATAATGACCCGATCCGTGGGTGCAGATACCATAAACTCTGATGCTAAATTTTCTACGCATTCCCTTCCTAGAAGTCCTTGTACAAAGTTATCCTTGTCTCCAAGCACAATCGTGCTGGGGCGAAATAGTAAGAATATCGCAAGGGTCACAAGTGATCCCTCACTGTCGCCTTGCGCAGAAAGGCGGATAATCACTTCTGAAGATGAGTGTGCGCCCGAATCCCCACCACCTAAACCTTCCAGAATACCTTCAATTATGCGAACAGAATCCAAAGACTCCGACATAATTGACGGGAAACAGAACATAGACGTTGTTTTCTTACCTCACGGAAGCTTACAACGAGTAACGTCGTATCACGCTTCGGGATCCGACTCGGGAAACGGATCCGGAGATTCAGCTTTAAGTTCCGCAGCCGGAGATCCAATTGAGTGCAATCACCGAAACTCGGGAGTCATCATAAAGAATCCTAGATATAATATTACCAATTCAGAATCAACTACAACGCTAAAAAACTTCGACTTCGATTGCAAGGAGGCGGAAGAAAAACTGTTACAAATGGCCCAACCCGAATTAAATTTGTCTAGCAGATTCGATTTGGAAAATTTTCAAACCATTCTATTGCCCGTTCACGAAAACAAGCCGTTGGATAACCAAGCACTTAAAGGGATCAAACTTATTTTAAAGGAATGTGGGTCAAAAATCTTAGCCAATCATTTAACAAAGATGGATTTAGATCTTGTCTTCGGTTTGCCAGATAATCCATATAAGAAGTTGGGATCAGGTATAGAATTATGCTCCTTACCGCACGGACATCAATTACGGATGGACTTAATTGAAAGGTGAGTGTGAGAGATTCTTTATTGTTTATTTTAATTTTAGGGCTGATGTGACTTCTATTGGTAATTCAAAAAAGCTAACTTAGTAAATATAGCTGGTCCAATCTGAAAGTATGGAAAGATCGGCAGATTTACGCACAAGCGATCCCATACTCATCCATTGAAGTTATCAATTATAAGGAATCGTTCTGGCTGGATTCGTTTTTTAGAACGTTTCCGTATTTCAAAATACGCATTTCCAAAATTTTCCGCTTTTATGGTGGCTAGTGTTTACTAGATTAGTAGCGAACCAATAGTTGAAGACATTACTTGTGCAAAACGCAAATGATCTTTGCGTGTCATTAGTGTTTTTTGATGTGATTATCACAAGGCAGATACTATAAAGCTCTACGATAAAAGAGTTAAAAGAATCTTTCACTTACGGGATGATGGACTTATATTCTAGAGCTAAAAATGCAAAATTTACCTGTGGCTCCTTTATAATTTTAAATTTTCAAGGAATTGTCGAGTTTCAACGTTTAAAGCTCAAATGTATTATTTATATAAAGGCATAAAGCATGTTCAAAGATATAGGTACACCTCATAGAAAGAAAACCTAGTAAAAATCTCCCTATTTATTTCATTCGAATTCATACTTTGTTCCAATACTTATAAGGCTTTATAAAGGAACAATAGGAACAACAATAACAACACCTATATTATATTGCTATCCTAATTGGACCAGATAAACGAGAAAGTTGGTGTATTCATTTTATACAATACAGCTTTTGGAATAGGTCCAATTTTTCTTCCCGCGAAGAATGAAAGCACTTATAGCCTTGTAAAAAGATACCCCTTTTAAGCAGCTAGAAAATTAAGTAAATTATTGAAAATCTCACTAACGTGAAAACAAACAAAATGACACCACAAATAATGGTCTAATCGAAGCTCTTATTTTGTGATAAAGTAAATGGCAGAATGAAACATTAAAAAGTAATGTAAATTTCAAATTTAAATGATTACCTATTGTCATATAAGAATCATAATTTTTCCGGGGCACGTTCAACATCCGCCACAACTAAAAATCTTGATAAGACTTTAATTTTATGCAATTTGAGAAAAGTCAACAGCCTTGATCAACTCCAAAGAATTATGTTACAAATTTACACTTAGCACCCTTGGTACCAACAGAAAAATTTGAGAACTTTTATCCATATTCGGTTTTTATTAAATAACGCGCAAACAAAACACAAAAACCAACTATTGTTACTTCGGGAACTTCACTTCGTTGATTGCCCTTAAATTTCGATTTAGATGACACTGGGTTCGTTATAATTTCAGATGGAATATTGCACATAAGGGATAACTGCTCGATAAACACAAGACTCCTACTAACTCCTTCGTAAACTTCAATTTTTTAATTCGACTTAAATATTTACTTTACGAAATAAAAATCTCTTAGAGCACTCAACTAAGTAACTTTTTTTACATAACTTTACACAACTGGCATGACGGACTGTCTTAAAACAATAAGTTGCTACGTTTCAACGTCCGCAAATACAACGAATATCGTCCACCTTCAAAAAAGCAGCGGTTCACGTCTTCCTCTGCATTTTTACTTCTCTCCGTTTCCGCCTTTCCCGTACTTGCATTTTACCCGATGCAGTTCTCCGCTTCTGGGTGTTCTTAGGGCTCGTCTCGTTCTGTCCCGCGTATGGAACTAACCGATTCACGAGCACTACCACTGACTGGGTTTCTTCGTAGTAGTTTACGCATCCGATATATTGTCGTTTATTCTCTTTACAACTGTATACAGGCCTGCCCAAGCTCTTTGTAGTTTAGAGGATAGCCCGCGTCTCCTCTGGGGACGATACTACCAAACCAGATCTCAGGGTTGATAACCACCAGCTTGGGTCTTCACGTCATACTGCACTTTCATTCTTTCGCTATCGAACTGCATATTATGGGCAACTTTGACATGGATAGCACCCAATTTCTTATGCAAGTTTTCCACACGTTCCTCAGTTTCTTCCTGGCCGGGTCTTGTACCAAATTTTACATCACACGCTAACCGCGGAGTTCCCGCAATACGAAAGGTGGGCTCTGTCCTGTAATTTACCGCACCGCAGAACGGTTGGCCATCAAGAACATCTTCATCCCAATCACGCAATTATGCGTTCTACCATTCCGTCTGACTGTGGGTGTAAAGCAGTGGTTCTGGTCGTGCCAATGTCCCAGGCTTTGGAATAGCGCCGACTCGAAATTTCGTCCCTGGTCGGATTGTAGTTCTAAGCTTTGAATATTTATAATCAGCGGTTCTACCCTCGAGTCACCACCTTTACAATTTTGTTTACATGAAAGCTCGTACTTAACTTGAACTTCCAAAGGCGACTCGACAGCAACTCTTTTTTGATCGGCCGTTAGTTAATAGCCATAGGTATTTCGTGAAGCTTTGAACTGGATGTTTTTCAAAATATTGCTGTTGCGGTTTTATTTGATTGATGTTTTATTTCAGAACCGAATGCCTTAAATTAATGGTGGCCGTAACGATCATAACATGCGCTGACGAACTCGAACGCACCGAGACCCTAAACAAATGGATAGAAGTGGCCATCGACACAAAAACTGCCTTAGGAAATTTATATGGATTTTGCGGCATTATGCTGGGTCTTTGCTTGCCACAGGTACTCCTTTTAACTCTATTTTTACGTAGCAGAATTGATAATCCATTAATTGCAGGTTCAAAAATTGGATAGCACGTGGCACATGCTGAGGCAAAAATATACAGACGCCGCATTTAATTTTGAAGCGAAACTCCGCCCAACTTTAAAAAATATGAACAATTGCTCAAATCCGCAAGCACCAAATACAACGATTCCACATTTGCTTCCATTCATTCTTTTATTGGAGAAAGATTTTGATGATTTTTTAATACCAAACGAACAAATCGCGACTTCTTTGTATCTAAATATTTGTGAATCAAACACGCAAGATTTTGGTTTAAGTACTTTGCTCGCACATTTAGAATGCGCAAGAAAGTTCCTTGATTCGCTTCCTACGTTTCAAAGAAATGCTGAGATTGTGCTAGCTGAAGCTCGTATGGAAGATCTCACCTTAGATATGTTTAAAACAGAATTTCAAATGAAATTTCTATGGGGTAGTAGAGGTGCTTTTGCGCCTGCCGTGGATCGCTTTGCTAAATTCGAACAAGTTTTGGATGTTATGGTCGAAAAATATTATAATAATCCGCTAGAACATTTGGAAGTGTAAATTTTTTACTTTGATTAAATGACTAGCACCCATGAATATTTTTTCAATTTTATGATAAATGAAGGAGGAAAAATATTCATAGGACTTACTAATGTGATTATATATAAATAATATGCAAATCGGACCTAATCAAGTTTATCTTGCTAAAATATTTAGTTTACATATCACACATATGTGATGAAATATGTTCCCAATGTACATATAAATGTGCGATTTTTAAATTGTTTTATTTGATCACATGGTGCACATGATTTGATTGATGTCGAAACACCTAGTGCTGAATTTTAATTCACCGAACGTACTTTACAAACAACTACATTCTTCATACAGTACATACCTACCTAATTTTACGCATGTCAAGTTGAAATTTTGGATTTTGAATCAATTTATAGCATGTCGTCTGTGATATATAAGTATAAAACGTTTTCAGTTTATTGGCCTTTTACCTACCTATTACGATACTGAACCAACTTGCTCAGCTAGACATATAAACAATATTCATAATGGTTCCATGATGAGCTCCAACATCATTTTGTATTTGTCTGGAATCTAGTATCATTGAATTTATAACTATTATAAATTCAATGCTAGTATGATCACCCAAAACCAACATCAATACAATAGAAAACACAGAACAACTAATAAGACACACTGGTCAGTTTTACTACATAACAAATACAAACACATTTTTATTTACAACCAAATTCAATGCAAACTTCATACAATTATGCAACTATGAATTAGTAAAAAACACATGCCTTTATCAACGTCGCCCGAATTTCATTTTAAATTCAAATTCGGTACGCTCCAAATAAAATATACAAAGTTTAGAATAATAACAAAAAAAAACGCGTCAACAGTGCATTTCGATAGGAAAACCGCAATTGACAAATTAATGCAAAACATGTTCTTTTCTCTGCGGTTTTTTTTGTGTTTGTTGCACTTTCTTTTACTTTGTCATTGGTAATGCTTAAACTTAGGGACTAAAAACATATGTATGATTGTGATTAACATGTGACAAAACCATCATGGACCTACAGGTGAATGGACTCCGAGATTCATATTATTTTGAAATGATAAGTTTGTTTTGTTATTGCTTATACAATTTCTGTGTCTTCTGTAGTGGCATAGTAAGTACCAAACAATTTGATAACCATTTATAAAGTTGGTTCAAAATCTAAATTTGAAATCATTGGCACTGTATCTCTGTACTGTACCTACACTATATAATGATCTGTTTCTTTAGATTACACCTTGAAAATAGCAGAAATCGTGTACACACTATTGCTTAACAAACAAATTAAACCCTCATTGAGTATCAATAACCGAGATGTTTGTATTTTATTTAGTAGGTACACAAACATTGGGCCAGAAGAAAGTTCCACAGGCGCAGCTCTGTATTATTATTATTATTATCAACTCTACTGGTAATATCTAACTAGGTCATTTAAATTTCAATTTTTGAAACTTCCAGATCAAGACTTATGAATTACGGTGCGTCTGTGAACTTTGATGAATTTGGTTTGGGTTTTGGGCGAATTATATTCTGAGTGCCAGCTATTATTAGGAACTTGCTTTATAAAGATAGAATGGGCGCTCTGTCAAACTTTTAATCTAGTCCAAAGCTTCTAGGTTGCAGGTACAAGTGAATCAGTTCAGGTTGTAGATAACAAATTATTTCCTTTCAATAAATAAATTAAAAAAGGGTCATTAAATTAATGTATTTATTTTTTTCAAAAAAATTTATTAATTTAAATGTTGACCACATTACTAATAGGTACTAGTAGTTGACGCAAATATTCTGATAAATAAAAATAAGCTTTTTCAATTTTAATTTCCCAAATGAATTGTTTATAGACGGTACTTATTAATGTTGTAATGGGATGTTTCTAAGGTAAATACGCATAAGTCTCGCTTCTAATGAAGTTAAAGTAAAATAAGGGGTAGAAAATAATACCAACATAAGACTGTCTTCCAAACTTAGAATGAATTATTGTCTATTGAAAAACCGTGCTTCAGTGTGGCACAGATCATAATCAGCACCAAAACCTGTTTTTACAATTTGCTGTGGATAAGGGACTTGTAATATTACATGCAATTTGAAATGTTTTACGCATACTTAGTTACAAGAATGTAAAAACATATCGTATTAATGTTGCAAAAGTTAGTGGCTGTGTGTAACTATGGTAAAAAATGTATAAACACTTCAACATGCTGCATTTTTTCACCTACTTTATGTAATGATTGATTTAGTTATTTGATTTCTTTTAAGCGTACTGTGACAATACAAGTTAAAAGACTGCCAAATAATCGTACATTTTTTGTTGTGCAATAAGTTTACATTAAGGTTGCATTTTATCTAGGTGTATATTTTTGCTTGTATAATTTTTTGGAAGATGTGTAAAGTAAATATCTCAAGGATAGATTAAAAGAAAACAAGTATACAATGGATAGGTATTTAGATATAACGGGTCTACTTATTGTATTATATTTAGCAAATAGATTATATTAAAAATTAGCTCTATTGTATATCTATGTAGTTCATATTGTGACGAACATGATTCCTATGTATTGAAATAAAAAACAGACGAATTTAATTTTTATTTTGTACATTCTTCAGTAGATCTTTGACATGTTTTGGTACTTTGATTTTTTTTCTTTTCTTCTGAGTAGGATCGGGCTTCTTTATTTTTCCCGCTTGTATTTCAGGTTTCTTTTTCTTCTTTTTACATGACAAAGGATTTGGACCGCCTTTCCTTTTTCTTTTCCTGCTTTGTTCGGGTTCTTGGGTAATACCATGCTGTTGCTTCAAAGAGGATATCGTTTCCCTTTCATTAGGAGTTAATCCCAGCATATCATGTGCCTCTTTTTTCGACGCTTCCGAAGGCTGATCCAATACAGGTGTCTTTCTTACAAAGTAAAGCAACGGAACTGCTGGTAACTTTCTAATTTTACTTTGTAAGGCCAAATCTTGAGTGGCAACGAAATAGTGATTTTGATTTTTCTCTTTAACCATGGAATATATGCAATCTGCGCCCGGAATGGGTTTACCCTCATGTCCGCATTTATGTACAAGAAAATTTTTGAGTATAACTAATGCACCCGCAACTTGCTTTCCCAAATTTTCAGTTTCGATAATAGCACAAGACGTAGTGCGAAACTTTAATTCAGACTGTAGATATCTAGGCAAATTGTCCTGAATGTTGATCTTACTCTGTAAATCATTAAAATTATACCATTAAGGTAATGGCAAATCAGGTACTTACATTCAATGCAGCGTAACAGAACGTTCCATCCATTAATATTTGATACGGTTGGTGAAATTTGAAATGGTTTACGTAAAAACTAACGTTTTTTGACATTTTTTTATATCTTTTTATTTTCATTTTAGGATTTTCAAGAGAAACACACTACACAAAAACGAGTCAACGAGGTTATGTATGTATAGTTCCAATGACAAAGTGTTATTAGACCTACGAGTAAGCATATGCACTACTAAGTACTAATGTCGATCGCATAGCGGCGTTCCAGGATGAAAATAATAAGACCGCTTTTCACTTTGCATTTTTTTGTTACAACTTTAAGTGGAAATAGAAATGTACGACTAGAACAATTCAATGCTGGAACTAAGAAAATTGATCATTTCGTTTGATTAATATTCAAAAATTATCTAATTCAATTTCTCAATTCCGTTAATGTAGCTGAGCGTAATATGCCGCATTAGCGATTTCAACCCTTAATATTAAAGTTGACTCCTGTTTGTTTGTATGTAAGCGTACTTTCCCAAATATTAAAAAACAATATAGATCACTTCGTTGGATATTTGTAATTATCGGGTTGAATCTTCGCCCCAAATTATTTTGACCTTCTTTGGTGGTCACTATATGCCTATGTAAATTTTAAATATTCAGAAAAATGGCTACCAATGTTTATCAACCCCACGTTAGTAAAGTTGGGGTAAAAAATGATCCCCCACTTTTTTACTCAAATACACGTTTTAAAGCACCAAAATCTCGATGAAGTCGGTCTGTACACTCATTTCCAGCACGGTTGAACCGATCAGAGGTCCCATCAAAGGCCGTGACAATAAAATTTTTTACATTTACATTCGTAACAGGTAATAAATGCTTTTAAACATCTGGTTAAACATTTTTGGGAGAAATATTTTGAAAATTCAGGAACAAACCGGACGAAATTACTCCCCAAACAGAGATAATGAAATATTTGATACAGTTACTTTACTAATTAAATACAAAAATTAATGTTAAATTTAACTCGGCCAATTCAATATTGAAAAAAAATACTAGAATTTTACGTAGGTACATTTTAAAGAATCAGTCCGTATAGGGGTTAAATGAAGGCTTATAATGGCTGATCTTTACGATCTCCTACGATTTATAACAATTTCTCAGAAAGCTACTACAAAATATCAAAGCAAAGCTTGGCCTGCGGCCACCAACATAACCGCCAGAAAACATAATTTTGTATTAACCAATTGCATTGGGAACGCGCTTAAACGCATTTGTTCAACGCTCAAGAAGTGAATTAGATGCATTTTTGTTGACCCACTTAGGCATTGATCAAGGATTGATACGCCACTGTCACTGTTTCAGGTTATGTCAGACTGTGGCGCTTTCGCTGCGTAAGCGTGACGTAATTTGAAATTTGACAACACCGGTGTCAGCGCTTAAAGCCCGTTTGCATTTTTGTTTGTTAGCAATTGTGATTATTGTGAATTGCTTCCGATCTATTAGTGCAAGTATTTGTAATGTATTTACTTGAAAAAGTTAATTGATAGCAACGTCAGTATTAGGTTAAATTTGAAAGATGTCTGTATCCTATGCTCAACAAAGAGGCGGCAGGGCTCCTCCAAGCACCTCTCAAATACAGAAAGTATTAGACGAAAATGGATCTCTTATACAAACCATTCAAGATTATCAAAATAAGGGGAAACCTCAAGACTGCATACAGTACCAACAATTACTGCACAGAAATTTGGTTTACTTGGCTAGTATCGCTGATGCTTCCCAAAATGTGAATGCCTTACTTCCGGTAAGTGGATTAAAGGTCATTATTTCTTGTTCTTAACTTATCTTTCTACAAGTGTTTATAAATTGGAACTTTAGTCAAGTTGATCTGATTTATTGGGCTAGGTAGGAGTCACTGCTCACTGGAGTCTTTGTAGCAGTTCATTTAATACAATCTGAAACATTTTATCTTTAGTTGTTTGCTGATGATATCAACTTTGGTGTCTTGTGGTTTTTGTTGTTTCAGATTGTGTTCAACAATTTTGAGTTAGTAGGTAATTTAGATGTCTGTAGTGTATGTATAAGGTATATATAGCATGAATGATTATTAAACGAACGTACCTAGGTGATGTTTGATTTGCATTATATGAAGGGGTAGTCTCGCTGATGATAAGTGTATTCTGTATTATACTGCAGCTTCTTTAGCTTCGCAAAAGGTTTCCTCCTCTCACTGTACCAGAGTGTGTTATACGACTAATTTTCTGAATTCCGGGACCCGAGGCTGGACCCAACTGTGTCTTCATCTGCTTCAGCTTGTCGGGCCAGTTTACTGCAAAATCAGTTTGGTGGTACCAAAGAAGCAAAATTTAAAGCAGTCTGATATATCCAGCAGGATGCTTCTTTAGAATTGAATCTAGGGGGGAGGTCGGAATCAACACCTGGTCCAACATTCAACAAAAGAGTGGTGACCCTACGGTAAACTGGCCCTACTCCTTACTATTGTTCACGGTTTAAACATGTGACTGAAGGAAGTTGCACTATACAGGGTGTTTATTGAGACAAGGCCGAAATATTTTTGTATATTTTATACCTATGGTATATATATAGACTTCTAAATGATAATATTGTATGGGTATTTCAGCCTCCTCCTGGATCTGGGCCTCCTATCGGACAACCACCACCAAATCCAGATCCACAACATATAAACAATTATAGTCATCATCCCCACCAACCGCAACAGCAAAATTATCGACAGCCACTGGGACCACAGCGACCAGCAAATCCTCAGCAACCATATCCGCAACGAAATTATCAACAAGGACAATATCCTGGCCAATATCCTCCGCAAGGTGGAGTTTATCCCCAACAGGGTCAGTATCCTCCAAGTCAACCGCCAGGCTATCCAGCAAATGCTCAAAGCTCATACGGCCAACCCCCCCCTACTACGTCTCACAGCAGCTATCCCCAACCTAATTATCCCACACCACCTCCCACCACTGCACCTCCACAGAGTAATCCATACACTCCTCCACCTGCACCTCCTCACTCACAATCTGCATCATACGTTACACCTCCAACCAACGCCCCATATCCCAACGCTAACCCTCCGCAAAACTATCCTCCTCAACAAAGCTACCCCCCACAACAAAGCTATCCTCCTCCAGCAGCTAATCAACCACAGCCCACTCCAACTCCACCATTCGGCAACCAAACGACTCCGGCGGTCCCTTCCAATTACCCACCTAATCCCGCCAACGCTCAGTCGCCACCCTTCACCGGTCCGCCGAGTAACGCCGTAAATCCGGCGGCTGCACCATCCAGCGCCCCACCTGCAACAAGTCAGTCGTACCAACCACCATATCCTCCGAACTCTCAACCTTCCAATCCGAACCCCGGTTATACTCCGCCAAATCAGGCTTACCCGCCGCCCGGGGCTAACTATGTATACCCGCCCCAACCTGGTTATCCACCTCAACCGCAATATGCCGGACAGCCGCAGGGATATCAGTATGCCAGACCACCACCTAGTCAAGCGCCACCCCCGCAGGGTCAATATAGCTACAGTTATCCTCCGCAACCTGCTCCACAATAAATTGATAAATATCTCTCTCTAACGTAATTTTTAGTGTTGTGATGATGGTACTTACTGTACTTATTTTAATCAAAAGAATGCAACCTAGGGGTAGTTCAAAAACTACCCAAAGATCTGTTTTGGTTAGTTTGTCAATTGTAACAAAATTCCTCTTCTTTGTTTTAATAATAGTACATTGTAAATAGGCAAAATATTGATTGTGCAGGTGGATTAATTAGTTCTTTTTTTGATTAAAATTTTGTTCCGACAAAGTTAGCGAAATTTTAGATTAGCTTATTACCTACGTTGATGTATTGAAAGTATTTTAGCGTTAAGGCAATAATAATTTCTAGTAATCAAAAGAATACTAAGCACAAGTTCATAAATTACTCATCTACTGATTGTGACAAAATTTCTTTGTTGAATTTTCAGTTTCAATTTAAGTTTGGTTCTGCCACTAAGTTTTAACACCAAATAATTTTGTTTAAGTAACTCAATTTGCTAAATTCCAATACATTGGCCTGTTAATTACTCAAATTATTTTTGTGACATAAAACTGGTGTGTGTATTTTCTTAATAAAATGACTCTGTAAATAGTCAAAACATTGATTATGTACATTTTTTTTTTTAAATTTCCATTTACATTGGCAAAAGGTTATACCTTGTTATCTACAAATACGAGGCGTGTTTTTTAAGTAAGTACCTTTTTGAGGTATTGGCAGTAAACTTTTCCACATAATCTCTGTCAATAAATATTAAGGCACTTATTGTGGCGCTTGAGCGATATTAAATGAACGTAGGCCACTCCTGTTTCAATGCGTTGACATAAATAATCTTCACCTTTAGAAATGTTAATGTACTTACTTAAAAAACACGTCTCATATAATTCTAGTGTTAAGGCGATTTTTTCCATGTGCCAATAGTCTAGTGTGTAACTTTTTGAGTAATAACTGTTTACGAATGTATTGTAGAATAATTGGTTTCTTAAATAAAGTATTTGACTAACTATTTTCTGTAGAGCAATAGCCTTGATTTGTTCGCTGCAATTATTACCTTCCTTTTATATGTATATTAATAATAATAATAACAGTCTTTTTTTGTTTTAGCTAGCCACTCTGCCGAGGGGAGACAATATTATCAAAAACCCTTTTACCTTGCGGTGTTGGGCAACCAAATTTAACAACATTCTAGTGCATTCTAATAATAAAATTAATTTTAGTGTTCGTATGCATACACAAACTTGGACCACTCTTTCTTATTTCGTGCTAAGGTCTTTCCTACTTTCCATGATACTCCCTTCTGCTGCAGTATTGTCGTTACCACCTCATTCCATGTCTGTCTTGATCTGCCTCTCACACCCCTTTTACTGGCACCTCTTCTCCGAGTCGTTGCAAATGTGCCCATCGTTCTATAAATTTTAGAACTCGCTGTACCTTTAGCGCTTTCTGGATTGTTTCGTTTATGATTTTATGTCATCTGGTTTTCACCATAATTATTTAATTTCTGTTGCCTTGTATTTTACTTTTTTGCGTGCTTGTTGTTATCCAGGTCTCGATATTTGAAAATTGTTAAGGAATTGATTGAGAAATGCACTATTCCTGTTTATTTGCGCGACCAAAAAACCCCTCTTTGGCGGTTCTGGTTATATATTAAATTTTTTAAAAAAATGTCCGATGCGCTGATATTTTATCGGTATCGGCCAAAAATGCCAACAATATAGCAGAATCTACCACGGTACGAACACTATTTCCATGATTACATTTATTCAATGACAGATTTCAAATTTGACAATGGAACCTCATAGGGAAATTTCAAGAAGTGCAACACTTACGAGAATCACTTCGAGAACTGAAGGACAGTCTGTACGTTATGAATTTCACTAGGGAAATTGATAATTGATAGACTTTTAGACAAAAAGTGACGAGTATGAACAAATACTAGCCAAGCTCAAAAAGGACTTTGAGAAAAAATGGAACGCCCGGATGAGTACAAAGAGTGACCTGACCATGGCAAATTTTGAAACGTATAGAACCCTTGGTACAGGTTCGTTCGGAAGAGTGGTATGTACCTAAATCATCTCGGGTAAGTACTGCAGACCTACTCCGTTGCGTTTCAGGTTTTGGTGAAAAAGATCAAGACGGACAATTATTTTGCCATAAAAATTTTAGATAAAGAAAAAATCGTTAGACTTAAGCAAGTTCAACATACTCTCAGTGAGAAGCATATACTAATGTCTATTAATTATCCATTTGCAATTACAATGAACCACTCGTTTAAAGATAACAGCTACATATACTTCGTACTGCCGTTTATTAACGGCGGTGAGATGTTTTCGCATCTTCGTAGGTCTGCTTCATTTGCGTTCATGACGTAGGTAGTATTCATCGCCGCCGTTTTAGGCAGCGCAAGTTCGACGAAAATCTTGCCAAGTTTTATGCCGCACAGGTTCTTCTAACGCTAGAGTATTTGCACGAGATGGATTTGATCTATCGCGATTTAAAACCGGAAAACATTCTAATAGACCCCGATGGGTATATTAAAGTAACTGATTTTGGATTTTGTAAGGTACCCAATTTTGAAGTGGGGTGGCAAGTTGTGTCCGGCTTTTCTTATTACAGATGGTGAAGGGGCGGACGTGGACACTATGTGGCACACCCGACTATTTGGCTCCGGAAATAATTTTATGTAAAGGATACGGACAAACTGCCGATTGGTGGTCATTCGGGGTCCTCATGTACGAAATGTCCGCCGGGTATCCTCCATTTTACGCCCACGATTCCATGAAAATTTACGAGAAAATCATAGGAGGAAAATATAAATTTCCTGCGCATTTCAGCGGGGAACTAAAGGATATTCTGAGAAACACATTGCAATTGGATCTGACTAAAAGGTGGCACTTGGCACGTTGACTATCACTAATATTGTTCTTTTAGGTACGGCAATTTAAAAGGTGGAACAAGCGATTTCAAGAATCATAAATGGTTTAAAGGCATCAATTGGTTGAGCCTTTATCAGCGCAAGGTACAGCCGCCATTTGTTCCAATCACTAAAAATGTAGGCGACACTTCTAATTTTGATGTTTACGACGAGGAACCTCTTCAAGTAGCAGCGAAAGAGTTGTACCCAACCGAATTTGCAGATTTTTAGTTTCACAATGGTTTACCTATCTGTTTAAAAACATTGAATTATATTAGAAGGGCGTTATTTTTATGCAATAAGAGACGCTTTTCAGGTTTAGGTACTTATATAATATCGCAGGTAGATATTATGTTGTACATGGTTTTAAAAAATTACCTACCTATGTTCTTCTTTTCCATTTTTTCTTTACTGCAATTTCGTAGTTATATTTTTAGCGCATTTTTGAAAAAATACGCTATTATATTCGTTATGGCTGGCTGTCCGGGTGAGATCAGCAACTACAATAGCTAGAGGCTTCAAATTTTCACTAAAAGCTTTCTGCTATAGTGTAGATGTGCAGGCTCTAGTCTATTTTGAGTTTGATTACTTGTGAGATCGATAATTGATGAAAATAAATTCGATATGGGTTTCGGAGGTGCTATAATTTTACCGTTAGATAGCGCTACCACTATAAAAACTTAATTATTTACTTTGTGGTCTGTTTTACAAAATAAAGACGTACCCTCAATTGAAATTAAATAAAATTAATTATTTAACACAGCCCAAATTACTCGTGAGATCGATAATTTTATTTTAAACTTAAATAAAATACTGATCTGTATTACCAAAAATGCGCTTTTATCATGCATATGCTGATTTACAACTTGTTTCATTTCGAAGCCTACACCTAATAATAATTGATAATGATTGAAGCCCATTTGTGACATATTTAGCTACATTGTAAAACAATATGAGTTAACTCCAAGAAATATTTGTATACATTTACAGATAATTTTATTTTTAAAAACAATTTACAAAAGAAAACAGAAGATTGGTTAAATGATAATACTTTACGCCCGTGTAATCCAATTATTCTGTCGATCGTATTCACCTAAGAAATCTTCATCACTTAAAATAGCAGGGGCTTTTTTTATGGCTGTGGTTTTTACATATACACTAGAAGCTTCTTTTTTGTCATAGTAATGTAGACTGCTTTTGTAAACATCTTTCTCCAAAGATTTGACCATGTAAGGGCCTTCTAATTCATACCCCAACTTGCGATAATAATTTCGTGTGCCCACTCCAGAAATAACGGCAATTTTAGTCGACTTATGTTCATGAATTGCTATACGTTCGGCATTCTCCATCAAGAAAGCACCGTACCCTCTATGCTGGAATTTCAGCATGTCGCGATCATTTACCGGTACTACACTGCCATAAACGTGAAGCTCGCGCACTATTGAACAGTTCTCTTTTAGTTCAGGTCGGAAGGTGGTTTCAGTAGAACATTTTCGCAACCTGGAAATTAGTTACAAAAACTGTGAAAGTTGAAGAGTGGTCACCTTAGCAATCCAATCAAGATGTCTTGTTTGGGGTCCTCGTAGCTTAAGAATGATTCCCAACCATTATTGGCGCAATAATCTCGTCTTACATATTCAACATCATTCGGTCGTACTTTGTGGTGGATCTCTGTGATTCCGACTTCACGTGTTCGAACGTCCCTGCACTTCAATTCCAGATCCTTCATTCTCGCCAATGCCAGTTCACGTAAATTGCCATGTTCCACTCCTGAGCTGCACTGACAATTAAAAAAATGCGAATAATAAGAAAAATTATTACCTGACAAGAGGCATGGGAATGTCTCTTTGAACTCTGTACACCCTGACCCACGGCGGAATTAGCGCCAAGATATTAGCGATCAAATCGACAAGCACAGAAGGGGGATAACTTTTGTATCTTCCCGTCTTCCACAACTCGTATAGACCAGTACCTCGTATCACCAAAGTTGGATAGATTTTCAAACCATCGGGCCGAAAGGCTGGGTTCTCAAACAGTTCCTAAACTCACTAAATAAGAGAATGTTGGAAAGGAGACGAGAATACCCACTATAAATTGTTCAATGTCTCGCTCTTCGTCGACATTTGGTAAATTGGGCATCATGTGGGCAACAACTTTAAAACCGGCATCCTTAGAGAAATTAAACGATTCACAAACAGCCTTTACGGTATGACCACGATTTGTATCTCTAGCTACATCTTCATACACTGATTGAATTCCTACAATTATGGATTATTAATTTTGCCATACAAATGCTTGAAAACAATTATTCAGCAGATATTTCTCTTTAATAAAACGAATAAAGTAAAAATGAATCAATCATTTAGATTCGATTCCTAATGGATAATAGTGAGGGAGGACCATTAGGCCAATCAAAAGTAGCTTTTTCTTTCTCATCTAATTCGTATAAAGAGAACTAGTTACTAGATATTTATGTATAGTCTCTTTTCACTGAGGCGGCGTGCGTACATTGTTTTTACATTTGTCTACCATTGAAGTTATTACTTATGGAAAGGGATAGGTGCTAGGTTTCATACCTCTTTTTTATCTCCAATTTAATTATAACTTGCTTACCTATTTCTAAACGAGTACAACCATAATTCAACATATCGGACAAATGCCTTTCCAAACAATAGTCCGGTCTGGTTTCAATAGTAATGCCAATACACTTAACATTTGATCTTTCAGAATACTTCACAGCTTCGTACACCGAATTACTTTTATGTCCAGACAAGGCATCATGTAAATTACGGATAAAATAATCACGATAATCCTCAGACAGTGACATAAATGTACCTCCCATCACGATAAATTCTACTTTATCTACACTGTGGCCCAACTGCTTCAACTACAACTTAACTGTAACACACATACTAAACAGCTACAATCAAATACCTGATCAACTCGATGCCTAGTCTGTAGATAAGGGTCATAACGAGCCCGAATTGCTCTCATAGATGTCGGCTCGTACCCTGTATAGCTCTGAGTTGAGTATTCAAAGTCAGAATCAGGACCCCCGGGGCAGTAAACGCAAATATTCCCGGTCATGTTTATATGCGGACAACGGTGAGGTTTACACATTACCGCCACCACTGCAATCTAAAATTGAGATTAGACAAGGAATTTCACCAAAGTAAATAAACTAACACCACTGGCTGTACGGATCGGTTTTGCGAGTAACTTTGGAACTAATATCTTCTTAAAATTTATAGGTACCGCCGCAATGATGTCCACTAGTCGGGGTGAGGAACTAAGCCCGTACTTCGACGAAATACGGGCTTTTAAAGCGTTTAAATTTACATTATGCTTCTCTTCTTGAGCTTTTATTAGATGTTGCACAATTTCCGCAACAGTAATTACTTTCTTTTCCTCTAAAGTCAGATGATCAAATTCTACAAAACCAATTAATTACACATAAGTTGGAATTCTTTATTGCGTACCGCCCGCTTTTTTTCGACCCATTGCAATAAATAAATATTTAAATGTTCACAGCATGAAAGACAACATAACCTCAATCACGTGGGTTTGTGACATTTCAAGTGAAGTGTGTACACCGTGAGTCACATAAAATGTCCGCTATGGCAAGGCACGGCAAAAAACTCTTTAAATATTTTTGAAAATTTTTTAAAAATAACTGAGATGTCACCGAAGAAGTGTAAATATCAAATTTCGTTTTTATTTTCTCTTGCTTAAACGGTCTGAAATGGACGATTGCCGTTTAGCTATGGGCACTTTTTTTCGGAGAATCTGAATGTATCAGAATTTCTATAAAATGCTAGGTGTAGAAGCTACAGGATTCAGGATACTACTTTCCTAGTTCTTAAGGGTGTCACATTGGATTTTACGGAATTACATAGAGGGTTACTTTGCTATTGCTTTTAACATTTTTAGATAATGTGATTTTGTTAAATCACTTAAATCTTAAATTAATCTTCGTACTTTTGATGTAACAAATTAGTATTATAACAAGGCTGCTTGTTTTTCTTTTACATAAATTGTAGGTATGGCTGGACCAAGAACGGGACCATCACCTGGCTACGCCACTGTAAATTAGTTACACAACCGCAAAACAAAATTTAAATTCTTATGGAGGGAACAGAAACTGAAACAAAACCATAAGATTTGTGGGTCACTTAAGAAGAAACATACGTATAAATAATATAAATAATAACCGTTGCAATTATTTTAATAAAATTACGTAATTAATTCCAAAAGTACAAGTCAAAAGCATATAATATGGAAAATCGCCATCATAGGGCGCCATGTTTAACATTCTTAATGAAAATGACTAAGGGAAATTCGCTAGCAATAAAAGTGAAAAACACTTTATAATTCCAATTGTTTAAATAGATATTGGTTTTGACTAAACAAATTTTAGTAACAAAGTAAAATCTGCAAAATTACAATAATTGGCGCTACATTACGCGCAATTTTTTAATTGCGTAAACCGTCGTGTACGGCGCTGTCGACCATCAAAAATATTTATTTATGCTCTTTGCGCTTCAGTCAAATAAATGGCGTCCAAGTGGAAATGTACGTAATTTTGTGCGTATGTAATGAATGAAATGTTTTCGTGATGTTTTTAAAAGTGAAAATGAAAAATAGCGGAAATAATAAGTAATGATATGTGTTATAAAATAGAGTTACCAAGCTCTTTTAATGAAGGGAACCATAGAAATGTTAATAAATTTCAATTAACAAGTTATATCTTTTAAAATTAAAATGAACGAAGAAATAGATATAAAACCGCCAGAGGAAAGGCCTGCTTGGCCCCCAGCCGAGGTTTTAAACATTAACTCTATACCAACACCACATATCAACATGACAATGCCTACAACCCCACAAGGGACTCCCGTAAACCCGAGCACCTTTCCCGAATACGACTTGCCACCGGAAATATCCCAGCAGGGCTGGAGAAAGTTCTGGTCTAAACGTGAGAACCGACCGTACTTTTGGAACAAACAAACCGGAGAAAGCTTATGGGAGATGCCGGTCGTTAAACCTCACTTCGATCCGATTACCGATCCCCTCGGTATATGCCATCCGCCCGGGCCACCTGTCGGATTACCCATAGTTACAAGTCCGGTTTCTATCATAAAGAGGAGGCCTTCCGAAGAAATCGGAGGCCCGCAAATAAAAAAATTTGTTTTGGCCGGTCCATGGGACTTGGACATACCGACGAACGTCATCATTTTGGAACGGCCGCCCTGTAACTATATGCATTCGCATCCTGAAATTGAGGGGTATCGATGCGGGCTGTTGGCCAAGTTACGTCAGTGTTACCAGGAGCTGTGCCATTCGAGAGAGTCGATCGATGCGCCGAAAGATTCGTTTAATCGGTGGTTGATGGAGCGAAAAGTGATAGATACAGGTAAACAAATTCGTTTGTTTAATTAGTGTTTGTTTGTGTTGAATTATACTTATATTGGAACGCTCACAGGCGGTCTCATTCATAGAAACGCAGCGAGCCGAGAGGTAGCGTCTTTCTTGACATTTATCTAGTGGTAAAAAAATGGTTGTGTGTCATCTAGTACAACCATGTGGAACCCGTATGCTAGAGTAGGACAGAGATATCCCCTGCAATATTTTCTTTCTCGAATTGGACTGGTGGACCGAGCGCACGTTCCAGTATAAGTATAGTTCAATGGTTTTTTGGTCTCAGTTAAACATGCAACAGTTTCCATGGAAACTATATAATAGGAGGTTATAGTCCCAGAAGCTTAACTGAGGCAAAAAACGGGTAGGCATTCTTGATGTTTCACAGTGAAATTAGAAAACATTGTGTTCATGGAAATTAAGTGTTAAGTTTAACGGAATCATGGCCCATGGGAGATCGGCACTGTAACTTCACTGAGGTGCAAAATTTTTTCTTGTTCGGAGATTAGCTGCCAAATTACGCGCTAGATGGCGCATTTATAGTACTTTGGCGCCCAGTGAGAAATAAATTTGGTTTAATTTATGGAGCACAGAAATTTGATTCATTTTCCTTGATTATTAGTTCATTTTCTGTTGACTTCGGTTTGAATGCATCAGAAGAAGAAAAAATATATATAGGTACCATATTATAAAATGCCTCGTAAATTGCACAGTTTCTTTGAATTTTCAGATATTGCAGGTGATTGTATTGTAGCAATTTTTACTACAATATGATTCGATTCAACATTAAAAAGTAACTGAAATTTTAATGTTTGACGAAAACAAGTTGACATGCACAAGGCTGTTGCTGTGGGCTGTTGTTTCCTAGCCACATTATTTTTGTGTGTAAATTTTGCTTTATTGTTAATTGTGGGGTGGTAGCGTGTATTAAAAAGTTAAAAAAAGAGGAGAGAAAGTAACGGTGGTGGGGAATAGCATAGCATGTGACGGAAGTTATGTTCACAAGTATGGCATATTATGTCATGTGTTTAATTTTGGGATAAGTCAGTTTTGTGGTAGTTCGGTGACTCACAGCCGTTATTATAAAGCGAGTTATAAAGTTACAACAGTGTTATTAAGGTATGTGATTGCATGTTGGGAATCACTATGTAAGCAGAACTATTGAGACCGAGGTTGAGACTATACCTACAAGATTGCATTTGGTAATTTGCTGGCTTGCGGACTGTACAGTTGGAATCGAGGTTGGAATTGTATTTCATAGGTAAGTGTTTTTGTTCCTATCTTTCAACGCACAAATTACTTGTATCTATTCTTAATGATTGTTTGTAAAATACTTAATGTGTGTATTTTGTAGGTTTCTAAAAACCTGGGGTTATACGCCGCATGGATGAATGTTTGTCAATTAAACAGAAGAAATGTTAGTTTATTTTATTTTGGAACTGCCAATGATGACGCGTCCCCCCGTTTGTATATTGATTATGTAGACTCAAAAAATGTCTCTCTGTCAAACTTTTTTTTGTCACCACAACACTAGGTCAACATACTATGCAGTAAGCAGTAAGCGGACACATTGTAAAACAGAAATCTCCCTACTCTTCATGCAAATGGTAGGTTTTTTCTGAGGTTTTTTCTTTTTGTTTGCTTGGGCGCTCCCATTTTAAGTTTAGCTGAGGGATGCCATAGCAAAGACTATGTTAGTACCAACGTTAGTACTGAAAATCGAATGATGGAATGAATCATGAATTCGCAACAAAAAAATCGACGCGTGTTGATCGACTCGGAAGATAGCCGCGGTCGACGGTTTGGCCACGTCTGCTGTAAAGGGTTATTTCGTATATTTAGACAGCGCGTTTATAGATATAGAAAAAAATGTTACATACAAAAGTTATGGGGATTTATCATAATTCGAAAGAAAATGTAAAGGAAAAAAACAAATGAATATCACAAAGTTAATAAAAAATGTAAAATTGGTAAATTTTGTATTTATATATATTTTTCAAAATATCAATAAATCTTTTCTTTCCGATTATAAAAATATATAATATTTTGACATTTGTTTTAGCTGTTTTTGAAATATTTGTAGTATATTATTTAATTGTTTTACCAAGTTGCAGTTTGCAAAAAAAACATGGCCATTATTATTTATTATTAATTAATATAATATTTTTTACCCTGGAAATAACCTAGACCAATTTTACTTTTAATATTTACTAGCAGTCCTGGCAAACTTCTTACCGCCTTTGGGAAATCCCATTTTTTGTTCGTACCCCGTTCCCGTTTTTGCTTGGGAACTTTGGAAGGTTCTTTCGGAGTACACCTTAACATTGACATTGCCTAACATTTTCATATAATGCCATTACAGTGTGCACATTTTTAATCCTTTGAGGATTTGTGAGTTAAGAGTTGCAGTTTCACGACATGGTGATGATGTGTTGCAAAATCACACTGTGCACATTTTAAATCCTTTGGAGACCGTCTTAGGAGATACTGTTTCAGAATATGTTGAAGGTTTGTTGCAAAGTGACAATGTGTACGTTCTAAACATTTTGAAGTATAGGTATTGCGTATTTGTAAGCGGTACACTGTGCACATTTCAAATCCTTTGAAGACTTGTGTGTTAAGAGATGATACAGTACAGTGAAAGAACTGTAACAATTTTGTAATTTAATTGTTCATGTTATAATTTTCCAGTTTCACTTTCTTGTTTCAATGTTAATTGTTTCATGTTGTTAAATTAAGTTATTTGTAAGTATATAAGAGTTATGACATATTTATCATTTTAATTTACGTTGATTTTGTATTTAAGGACAATGTGATAAGCATTGGTAATGAAAAGCAATGACTCTTATTTCAAAATAAAAACAATTGTCCTGAAACTCATCAAAAGTGATCAAAGTACACTATGGGTGTATGACGGCCAGTACATATTCTTTTAAACTTTGAGGGCGCCTGGCAAACTGTAAGGCCCCAGTAAATGGTCTGGCATACTTATTTCTGCTAGTGAAATATTAAATTTATAAGTAATAGAAATTTCAAAGTGCCTCAAGAAAATTTTTTGAAGCATGTGCTTTTCCCCTTTAATAAAATGCATAAAAGCAGGACCGATAACATTCAAAAACTGTCAGATATGGTACATCACCAATATTTTTGTTTTTTTAAAATATTCATCGTTTGCTATATTTTGAAAGAAGAAAGGGTGTGGGTGCCAGCAAGATTGCTTCATTGATAACAAACAGAATTTCCTTGGACACATTTGTACAATTTTTTGCAAAATCTCTGTGTTTATTACTTATCACTTTTATATCTTTAGGTATTGATCCATTGCTGCCAAGTAATTGCTACCCAGAGATATCTCTCGCAATGTACAAAGAAATAATGAACGACATCCCGATCAAGTTAATCAGGCCGAAATTTACCGGGGACGCGAGAAAGCAACTTTCGAGGTACGCGGAGGCCGCGAAAAAGATAATGGAATCCCGAAACGCGGAAGCGGAAAGTCGAAAGGTTGTGAAATGGAATGTGGATGAGACGTTCCAGTGGTTGAGGCGGACGGTCGGCGCTACCTATGACGATTTTCAGGATCGCCTAGCTCACCTCAAGTCTCAGTGCCAGCCTCACTTAACAGAAACGGTAAGGGAACGTGAGTGTGACTTGTGACTTGAAGTTGTTGTAGGTTAAACCGTCTGTCGAAGGAATATGTTTGAAAATTTATAATCTCTCGTCTGAGTACGCGAAAAAAGTGCGTGAGAAGAGCGGCACTGCGTTAAAAGATCAAAATATTGACATGCCCGTACCACTTACCATGGTTAGCACGCGGAAAGTGTGGTGTTATCCAATTCAGTTTGCCATGGGCTGTCCACGGCTACCCGTAGTGGAGTATATACCTGACCGAGACCAGGCTATGATCAGATTTCAGGGTGACACACTTGCCATTAACACTACTCACCTTCAGAAACTGGTAGAGCAATCTTCCATTTCACTAGTGTTTCATTTTCTAATTTCAGGAGCACTTGTATAGGCATAGCTGTTTTGATGATAAAAAATTCGAATTATTTATAGCAAGGGTGTGGGTGATGTTAAAACGCTATGCAACATTCTTAGGGGTTAATCCGTCTTTAACTACTGCAAATGCGGATTGCCAAGATACTCAAGCTTCGCTGCCTGTCACCGTATTTGAATGCTTACAAAGAATGTTCGGCGTAAGCTTTGAATGTTTCGCTTCGCCTCTTAACTGTTATTTTAAACAATACTGCTCCGCATTTGCCGACTGTGATTCATATTTTGGAAGTCGAGGGTAAGATTTTCATTTTTCCACAATCCAGCCTGTCCCATGTGTTGTTCTTTTAAGGAAAGTCTACTTTTTTAGGCCTTTTCTTCAATTAAAAGCTGTTTCGGGTTCATTTGAAGCTCAACCTCCTTATTCAGAAGAATTAATGGAATCTGCAGTGGATCATATGGAAAGGCTACTAAACGACAGTCCAGAACCGCTTAGTTTTATAGTATTTATGCCAGATTATCGAGAACCAACTCCTAATGGACTACTCCGGTTAGAGTCCAGTCAGTTCAAAAAGAAACAAGTGACAGTTCCTGCTTATGAGCATGAGTATAGGCATGGGTTTCAACATGTACTGAATCGGTGAGAGGAGTAGTTGCAATTAGCGCTGAGCGTTTACATTGAAGTTTGGTGTTAGAATGAGGTTAATGAAGCTGGCCCTGGAAATAGCATCATTTTAAACATTTCATGGAATTGTTAGTTTCCATATAATATTCCTAAGGTTCCATATTTATTTGCATCTCCTACCTGCATTCAAGAGTTTTGTAACGTAGGTTGTTAGTTCACCTTCCGCACTACCTGTCTAGGTCATAAATAATCCGAAACCCAAAATCATTTCTTTTAACAACGATACTTCCTCCTTACCAGACTCATGTCTTAGCACCAGAAAGTCAATCATCTCCATTTCCAAAATGTTCATGATTCTATACTTTCATCGCTTACATATTGAAAGTAATAACTTGTATACCATTCTGCCATCAAATTGAGAATTGTGTTAAAAACAATATTATATGAACTTCATAGTCTACCATACTTGGTCATAGCATTGAATAAAAACACTATAAGAAGCCTAACCCCGTGGAAATAAAGCGCGACAGAGATTGAACTGAGAATATAATGGGAACACTGTCAATAGTGTCGATTCTTGAACTGAGAAGAATGAGAATTTGCTTTCCTCCTATTTACCGCAAAGAGAGTTCGGTGGTCACAACCAATGCGGGTGCAAGGGGATTTGTCGCGCTTTCTTCCATAAGCGTTAGGCTTCTTATAGTGTTTTTATTCAATGGTCATAGTTACTCCCGCCGCACTTATTCATAGAGATATTATGAGCCTTCTGCAGTTGGTAGTTTAAGATCAATCTTTTCATTGTTATTTTTATAAAGTAAGTTTTTAGTGAAGTATGAAGCTTCCTGAACAGTTTTATCAATAATCATGGCGTTTGAATTTACTATTCACACAAATGTCCGTGAAGTGTAAAGCTTTGAAGAGGTGAAATCTTACACATTCTAACAGCTTCATCATAGACTACCATTGAATTCACAATCCCAAGAAACATCTGGGGAAATATTAGGCATTCTCGGATAATTTTGACTTTACATTAACCAAATTGGTACAATTTCTGCAGCCAGCTTCACACACTGTAACAATGGTCACTTGTTTGTGCTGGAGGGCTTATTATCTAAATAAATCAAAATTTTAAGAACACATTTTCTTATGGCTTAATTAAATATAATAAACACCTTTACCGGTCATGTTTCAGATCAGAATTAAATATTAGATCATCTCATGGAACGGTAATCGTGTGGTTGCAAAATTTATCAGGCTATCAAAAGTGGGGACCGACGGAAGAACGAGTCGAAGCCCTATTGGAGGCCTTCCGTCCTGGCCGGGAAAGGGAAAGAGATCGACAGGAATTACTTAGTCCGACGCGACAAGGTAATGCGACCGATAACAAGGAGGTGCTAGTGCATTAGGTTACAATGTAACTTTATACTTTGTTTTTATATTTTTTTATATATATTGTATTTTATGTATATGTTGTTTTTTGCAAAATTTTATTGTTTACTAGCAATATCGCGATATTACGATGTTAGAACATCAAAAGATGGAAAATGTACCTGACCTTTATTTTAAAAATTTGGGGTTTATATGAATTTTTTTATATGGGGACGATTTGGTTCAAAGTGTACATTTGACTATTTTATCCTTAAATCTCAAATTTTCAAAAGCGATGTAAATAGAATCACGGTTTTCTCTGTAATATAACTATCATCTTTATTTCTACATTATTTTTAATTTTGTACTAATATAGCCTTAGTATGGACGCGTACGCGTTTCTGTTGCAGACAATATACAAAAAACGTTCGTTTTGATTTAGGATTTTGCAAGTACGCATCATCGATAAAATAATGTAAAAAGTGTTTCCAAGGTTATTATGGTTGTTTTTCTACAATTTTAGATGCGCATGAAACCTCTACGGCAATTTTTTAACTGACCCTTTTTTATCTTTGAATTCATATGTAAATCTTTTGTATACTTTTCCCTAATATTTTTCTTTAATTTGTGAATTAACTGCAATTTAGGGTCTCAAATCATCATACATCCATAACCATTTGTTGTTTGTACATACCATTGTTGAGTGTTTGTTTTTATACATTAAATGTGTGCCCTGTATGTGTGTGGTTTGTATTCGTCCATGATTTTTCTTTGCAATTGCCTTATAAGTTTCACGTAGATACTAAAATTGTGTACATCAGAACGCCATGTAATGAGTATCGCTCATATACAAGTGGTTTCTTCGCGGAATTGATTGTTCTGGTTATAATTCAGTTTTTGGACCTTGGCATTCTAGTATTATTGTGATATTTGACATTTAATTCTATGGACAATTTGGTAGCCTCTGCTGTGAGACTATACATAAAATTTTTTGCGAAGGTTTATTGTGTGCAACAATTCGCCTACGGAATAAGTGAGAGTGCTGTAAAATATATTGTTTTATAAAATGTTTGTAATTATCTGTATTTATAAAATGAAAAATTATATTAGATTTATAGTGTCAAAATTTGTATTTTAAAAATTTATGCGGAATAAAGAAATCGAAACTTTTATCACATGGATTGTAAATATGGAGTATTACAGGCAGTGATGGTAAATGGAATTGCTATCTAACACTGACCTTCTGGTCTCATGAGAGTAGTAAAGGAATTTGAAAAAACGGAAGTTTTTTACGTTTAAAAAACGTTTTTAAAGCGCATTGAAAGGATAAATTTGGTATTGGGAGTATAATATAGGTTTTTTTGTAGACCAATTTTATATTCTACGTTTAAAATACGATTTTTATTCATATATATAAACCATACGGTTCACGTTTTACGTGGATAATGATAATATGTATACCTATATAAATAAATGTAGTTTTTTTAGCAATAATTTGTTAAACGTATCTAACACCACTTTAATTTACCATACACTAATATTGGTTTATTATTATTTATAAATGACACAAATTCTACTTGTTAAAATGACTACTGAAATTGGTACAAGGAATACATACTTTATACGATCTCATATCTTTTGTGTTATATACGACCGTTTTAAATCTGTTTGTTTTCCACATTCTTTTACACCAGGTATGATAGTTGGGCTTATTGGTTCATCCAGATGTTGCGGTAGTTGGTAAGTTGACAATAATAATAATACAGGATTATATTTGCTGATATTCATCTTCATTTTAGGACGTGGTACAGGGGCAGTATTCTGGACCTGCATCGGCCAGGTAAAGTTCGCTACAGCTACTTTCAACAGATCATAGTTTAAATTAATCTTTTTTTTACCTTGCAGAGGGACGCTTCTTCAATGTAAACCGGCACCTCTTACCTATAATGTATGCAAAGACGGAAAGAATTGAAAACGACGTTTCTTGGACGTGAAGACTCCTACAATCTCAAGGTAACTTTAATAATATTTTCAACAGTTCGAATAATGGCCTACACCGCTCTTTAGCAAACCATGTCTATCCACATCTAAGTTAACCTATACCAAAAAGTATTATGGTTACTCTTTGCCTATACCTAACAATTTCCGTGACGTCACCCACCGTTTTATTACGGCACCGCCATGCTAGGAAACCGTACCTTTACCGTGCGAACAACCAGACGGACGGACACACTTCTTGACGTCATTGATGGTAAGGTAGCTTCTCGTAATAGGTACTCACGCAACTTGATAAAACATCTTGCGTGTGGCTACAGATCTAAACTAGAAAACGGATTACTGTTACATAGAGTACTCATGCTGATTGAGTATAAACGTGTAGTGTAAATAAGAAATCTACTTACACATGTATCTTTGTTCACCTGCAGTATTCTACTCCTTAGTATTGTAACGTGATTTATAAATTCGGGTTCGATTTATATCAATATTTATTAAACAAAACTAAAACACTATAAAAACCGTACAATTTATATCGATTATTTATATCACACACTTCGCAATTTATATTTCCGCGCTCGATCTCGTTCGGTAGTAAAACTGCCGCGATGTTCGGTCCGCAACCATTTATACACGCAAGCAATGTAAGTCCAGAACATTCGCGCAATTACCAGACACGCTGCAAAGATCCCCACCATCGCGCGTCTAGAAAATTCCAGAGCGCCAAAGGCGACGTCATGTCTGGAGCGTTTCCGTTACAGTATTATTTCAACGAGAGCTAAGAGGCACCTTCTTTTGCTTTTCTTTTAAATATTAACATAAACTTGCAGAGTATAAGTACCTAAATATAGGTGGAATGTAAACTAAAATTGAATGGTCAGAAATCAAAAATAAGAGTGGGTGGTGTGCATAATGGTACATTTTTAAAATTAATTTTGATGTTTTTTTTTAAAACTTCTCAATTAGAGGGTCGCCAATTAATTGCTAAATTATGGTGTACTTAGTGCTATTCCAGAATAATATTTCATTATTATTTTTTACCATTCCCACTCAGACCAAAAATGGTGTACAAAACAGAGAAAAAGAGAGTAAAAATTGATATCATGATACTTGTATCACGGCATTGAATAGATGGCTGTAGGCAACCAACATTGCACGTGACAAACTGGAGCTGTTTTTACAGTTCTCTGTTACCACCCGGATACAGTGATATTTCAACCTTAATCTTCTTTGTGTTAAAAGTCACTATTTGATGCTAATAATAAAAATAAAGACTAAGCCATGCATTTGATCCGTTTTTTAAAGTATGCATAGCCCATTATGTATATATTTTAAAAAAACAATATGGCGTTCAAGTGGAATTATTGGAATATACCATTGAAATAAAAGACTAATACTACCCAATTTTACACCTGAAATGTGCGAAAGATGGTGGGTGACGTGTCATATGTGCGACGGAGACAGTTGCGTTTAAATCGAAGTTCTAAATTAGAAAGTCGGCAACACATCATACACCCGATAAGGGAAATGAGGTATCGAACAAAAGTCTTGTATACATACCTACATTCACTTGAATGTTACAAGAACTTTTTTTTTTGAATTTAAACATGTCTGAATTTCATTATAACCATATATATAACCAATGGCTGATATTATTAGATAATTTTCTATTATAATACAGTTCCTTTATTGTAGACAATTTTAAACCACTGCATCAGTGCCAATATTTTGGAAAAACTAAAGAAAGGTTGAAAACCTAATATAATAAATAATAAACCGTTATTAACTAAATCACTCAACAATGGCAGGATGCCTGTGTATTTGTTACAGCCATTGGTAATAACTGTAACTGTAACTATAACTGTTTAGAGGCAACCATACGCATTAATGAGCGTAAATTAAGATCCATGTCAACGTTATGAAAATTGCTTTATTCAAGTGATTTTGTGATTAAGGTTGCGAGCTAAGCAGATAGATTGAACTTCAATATGAACTGATAGGAATTGTGCTGATTCAAATTAAATTTTTCTCAATTCTGAACTTATACCGACGTAGTACAATCTCTAAAATCTATCGAAAAACGGCAGAGAAAAGAAAAGCTTTTGCGTGAAAAAAACCTTTTCGATTTGAGAACTACCATTTTTGACGCTTTGGTATTCCGAATACTCATTGGTATAGGTATACATATGTACCATGGAAATTGCCTACGGTCACGATAACCACTACCTAACCTCAAATAATCTAATTTGAAATATACTTTCAGCAAGTCTTATTTAGTTGATGTTATTTCTATTTTTTTACATTATCTTAATTGATTTTGTGATTTGAGTTACCCTAAATAACTAGTACAATAGGCTGACAGACGGTTACTGTGAGGTTATGCTGAAGTTGGAGTGGAAATGTCCCCGATTATTCTAATCGAAGTAAAACATTTAGGTACATAATTTGCCAATAGCGAATCTTGTAGGAGGTAATCATGAAAAAAGTAGCCAAGAGTAGCGTGTGGATGGGAAGATTTCATAAAGGTTTCGTAGTTGCCTGTATTGGTATTACTGTACTCGCTTTAGGAAACGTATCCTTAGGAGCGATACGATACTTTATAAACGTTAGACCTGAACAGAAGAAACGGGAGCTTTTGGAGAAACAGGCTTTACTAGCCGAAGGGTCTTCAGATAACATAAAAGACTCTGCAGTGATATAGTTTAGAAATGTATTTTTAACTGTAGTCCTTACTGATAAATAAAGGTGTACTTAGAGAGATTGATGCAGTTTTACATTTTACGTGCATTATTGCTATGCAGTGCATGAAATTTATGTGTAATTTATTAAAAGGGTGTTCAAGGTCGACAAGACGTTTATAATAAAACCAAGATGGCGTGTCGTCCAAGAGACGGTTTTCATTTTAGACCAAATTTATGTTTGTAGCTTTCGTTTATTGATAAAATAAGATGAGCTCAAGAAGGTACAATTTTTTAAGCAATTCACAACTAATAAATTCCAGTTTCCATAATTCCTTACCCCTCATTTCTTTGTTCAAATATGCTAATCTCATACCTGCTCAAATTCGCAATGTTTTCAAATAAAAGGTGTTTCAAGCTTGATCATTTTAATTTGCTAGATGGTTCTGGCCCACAATTACCGGGATTGAGGCCGAAAAGCTTCTAATGGAGAGAGGTGTCGATTGCAGCTTTCTCGCTCGACCTAGTTCCTCAAATAAGGGAGATTTCACTCTGTCTGTTAGGTAATTACGAAGAACTACCCTCGGGTGCCTTATCAATTTATGTTTCAGACGCAATGGACAGGTCACGCACATTAAGATTCAAAATTCCGGCGATTTTTACGACCTGTACGGTGGCGAAAAGTTTGCCACGTTATCGGAATTGGTACAGTATTATATGGAAAATCAGGGCCAGTTGAAGGAAAAGAATGGGGAAATTATCGAACTCAAGTATCCTTTAAATTGTGAAGATCCGACGACGGAACGGTAAGTTTACTGATATTATGTGTGTATCGGTGTAATTAGGGAAGTAAAGGCTGGATTTGGTAGTGTATACAGTGTGGAAATGTACCATAAGCTTGGCAACAGAACTGTTGCATATTTGGTATTATTTTTTTGTCTATGTGTTACATGGCTGTCTCGGTAAAATGAATCGCTGCCTACAATTTTGAGACGATGAAGGAAAATAGTGAGGGAAAACCACATATACAGTTAGTGTACAACATGAGAAGTTATGATAAAGGCTGTGACATAGCTGCAATATAGTCTTGTACAGCGTTAAATTCCGTGCATTTATACCAGTCATCACCCAAGCATGTTCAGTCACTTCATATAACCACAAGTAACGTCTAATGTCTTATTCTACAATTAATTTAATAGCGGAAAAGCACTATTTACTATTATTTTTTAGCTTAGAATCAATTTTCTTCTGTGCACATGACACTGAACAATAAACTTTGAGCTTCGGTTCACAATATGTCGATATCAAAGACATCATTTACAATGAATACTTACATTTGGATGCCTCCAGCTGAAGGGCAATCAGTTTAACTGCTGCTCGTATACTGTCCTGAAGTGGCATTCTCACAAGTTTATGGCGTTCTCTTACATTTCCTTTATCTTCTTTCTAAAGAAGCTGTACAGCAGTGGATGCAACGCATTCCGTGACAGTATTCTTCTTCTGTCACACTAAGATGCAAGGATTTGAGTCTTTAAAGCCGGGCTCAGACGACTCGAATACACAATTATTTGCGTACTTGGGAAGTATACGAGCTTGGCGAGTTGCGATGGCAAGCAGGACACTCACACGACGTGTACATTGTACAAGTACGCGAGGGCGAATATTTGGGGCGAACATTTGTAACACTTGTATCCTTTTCCAGGCATCATTAACTGCATTTCGATTTTTATGGTCTTTGTGTTTAGCCATCCAAATGACCGGCTCATTTTCATAAAAAACAAGAAATTCCAACACAATCTCATTTGTCCACTCCATTTCAATAAAAAAAGAAAAAAAACAAAAAAAAACGTCTGTACGCTTCCGTCTTTAACTGAAAACTAAATTAATAATCGCACTAAAGGCAAATTATTTGTGCATTCCGTTTGAGCGCCTCTACAAGTATAGATAAGTATGTACTTGGCAAGTGTGCGAATAATCGTGATCCCTTTGACTCGGACCAATTTTACCGACAAGAAATGGAAAACTAACGAGTGACAATTAATTGTACAAGTAACCCACTCACACGACATGCCAAGTATACGAAAGTAACGATTATTCGCCAAGTACACGAGTCGTCTGAGCCCGGCTTAAGATTAGAAAAAAATCAATTAATATTGTTATAATTAGTCTCAAGGACTGATCGAAGTATGTGTAGAAATATACAGCAGTAATAGGCAGTACTAAGCAGTATTCAGCAGTAGAGCAATATTAGGCCTCAGTCTAAAAGGCACTTTTTTGTAAAACTTTTAATGCCACAAACAGAATCAATATAGCTACGTTTCTTTCTGAGATACAGAGTGAAAACCAAAAGTTTGACATTTTGGGATCTTGTCATATCTTACTACCCATGGTACATTACTACCCATGTAAAATGGAAAAAAAGTAAACACTGTTTTTTAGATATTTTTATGTAGAATCCAGTACAGAAACTGTACAGAATAATCAGAATAATTTAATTATAAGGAAGAAAAAGGAAATATTTTACAGCTGTTAGCTGTATCCAATTAAAATATTAGATCGTAACGGAGACGACGGCGGTCGTGGGCGGGAATGAAAGCCACAAAACACAAATTAATTAGCGGTGTCTACGGAAAATCAAATACAGGAATGCGAAACAATTTAATTAATTTCTCGGCTTATTCCAAAATCTCAATTAATTAAGCATTCTTCTAATGTATCCACTCACGACTTAATTGGATGCTGTTTACTGCAACTTATTTACTTAGCTACTGTTAATTATACTCGCTTAAATGAAATTTCTAAATTCATACTTCTAATTTACACCCATTGCCTCTTGTAATTTCTCCGGTCGGGAAAAGGTCTCTTATCAAACTGTTACGGCGTAACCCTGCATCTAATAATTAGATAGCGGTAGTGAAATGTTAATATGCTCTCGTCTTCTAAATTACAAGAGCTTTGAACGCAACAAAGATAATTGAAATATTTCGACGGGAACGGTTGCAAACGGCGAATTAATTACAGCTTTTGTTTTCGGTAACGGCGGCTGAAACAGAAAATTAAACCAATTACCTTTACCTCCAGATACCGTTGTTTACGTATGGGGTGGTCATTAAGGTATGTAAACTTCAAGGGAAAAAATTGGTACTTCATTACAAAACGGTGAACAATAGGTAACACAATAGTGGAACGATTAGTACTCTTCTCACTCAAGTTTTTTTACATGGTTTTTGAATACGACCGCCATTTTGAATTTTTTTAAAGCAGCATAGGAAGGCTTTATTTGATTTCTCTTTCTCACTTCCTTAAACTTGTATGATGTTAAATTAGAAAAGAATACAGAAAAAGTAGAAAAAAACCTTGCCCATACGCTTGGCTAATGTACTGCACTTTAAATAGAGATACCTTTAAATTAACAGAACATCCAAAATTAACAAAAAAGCAATGAGCAGGTGCTTTGTGACATACACACAGTACGTAGGGCTTGTTTACTAACAACTATTGTATTACGTGAGAAAAATATGGACCAATTATTTTCTAATTTAACACCATTCATGATTAAGGTAGTAAGAAAGAGAGAAAAATAAGCTTAATCCGGAACAAAGGTCACAAAACCTTCGCCATAAATTTCATTTATTATACAAAGATATAAGTAATCAATGGCGACATGTTTTGGGAAATGCCATCATCAGGCCTTAGAATATAATGCTTTAACAAATTTGAGATCACCTTGTTAAAAGTATTACATTCTAGGGCCTGATGATGGCATTTGCCGAAACATGGCGCCATTGATTACTTATATCTTTGTATAATAAATGAAATTTATGGGGAAGGTTTTCTGATCTTTGTTCCGGATTATCATTTACCCAATTTCGAGCTTTCCTGAGAGAATGGATACTCAACAAGTTGAAAATAAGCTTTTTAGTGAAGTATCACATGATGTATGTTGCTATTAAAAAATTCAAGATGGCGGTTGTACTCAAAAACCATGTGTTTTTTAAACTCAAAAATATGTGAAAGAATTTCAAATGGAAGTGTTCTAATTTTCATGTCTACACTGTGTCCAAGATAAGGATGTCTATCATAGGGAGAAATCCAGAAGATTTCGAATACTTCCGAAGATGAACCAGAAAAAAACAAATTTGCCGATTTTGTTTTTATTTTTTTCTGATATTATATTTGAACAGATACAGAAAAATAAGAACACATTCTCATTCCCACTTTTGGAGTTCTAGAAGACAGCCCTGAAAGATTTTATAAACGTTTCATTTTGGAGAAATTAATTGTTTTTTCATATGGCCCGTAAAAAAAGTACATACTGTATTGAATAGCATTTTTTATTATGAATACAACGATGCACTGTACACAAAACAAAAACAAAAGTGTTGGTTTCAACATGATGGTGTACCCGTACACAACATCCTAATCGTGCGAGAATACTTATCGAACAAATGTTTCATTTTCCAGGAAATGTGTGTGATAGATACACAGTGTATACCTCTTCTCAAATGGTTAGAGCGTGAAACCTTTCACTTGGTGTCTTTAATCAAAAATATTGCGCATTTTTTGTTAAGTTTCTTCTAGTTAAAAAGTGGCGTGTATAGAACTGTTAAACCATACATACAGTGTGCACAAGATATCTGGAACAAAATATTTCTGCCTAGAACACAGGGGGATCACGTAGCAAGTTCGTTGGAAGTTTTTATGTTGAAATAGATACTAGAAATTTGGTTTAGAGCCATAATCAACCATTGCAAATTGAAATAAAATTCTTTCAAGATACCGGAAGTAGCGCCATCTTGTTTTTTTAAAAATAGAAACATACCATTTACTATTTTTTTCTAAATGCGCTATTTTATTTGGAATTCAACACAATTAAGATTTAATTACCTATCTGTCATAGTTTTTGACATATTATGTCAATTTTCTCTAAGAATTTGAAGTTGCAAGGGTCCATTCAAAAATTTATATTAATAAACCGTTCACGATTAGTGAGTACTCTTTATAGTCTAAAGGCCGCTTTACATACTGCAATTCTTTGTGCAATACAGTTGCAGCAAGTTTAATTGCAAAAATACTGTACATGCAATAATTATTGCACTTTGGTTTTACACGCGGCAATTTTCTTTTTGCAATAGTTTGTTACCAACATTCGCATTTAAAATTGAACTAAAAGCTTTATTCTATTCAAAATTCATCAGGTGTTGTTATAATTCTGAATGCGTTTTGAGTAAAAATGAATAGACACTTTAATCGAAAAAAGGCAGTCGCAGCTTCAATTTGTGTAGTAATATAGAATAAGAAACTTTAGAACAAAAATAAGGCGTCGCAGCTTCAATTTTCAGCTGTATGTAATAGTAGTGAAGAAAGTATGTAAAGCGGCCTTAAAAGGAATTGCTTTAGTGACGATTTGCAGTATGGTGATAATGGTATGGTATAATCATCTTATAATTTTTATACCGAAAAGATCAGCCCACATGTTAAAATCAAAACGGTGTCTTACAGTTCTTTTTAAACATGGATTGTTCCCAGACCTATAGCGTAGTGGACATTTCGCCTATTGAAAATGCCATTATTCGTAAACATACTGTCATCAGACCATGTTATTTGATAAGGAAAATTCTCTTGGCATTTTCTTGTGTACCATTCAGATTTTGGTATACAAATGTTTTACTCAATCTGTCGGACTGATGTACCTGGAGCTTCAGGGATGGCCAACAAAACATTTTGTACAGTTTCTTCATTGCTGGGTTTGCGTAGAGAAACCACTGGCTTTTTAAAAGTACCATATGCTTTCAGAACAATTTCG